ACTGACGCCAATTGAAAATGCCAAGTGAAGCCAAGTCCTTCTCCACCTGGTCTTTCCAACGCAGAGGAGGCCTTCCTCTTCCTCTGTTCCTAGCATCGCGGCCCGCGTTGAATATTTTCAGAGCAGGAGCGTTTCTGTCCATCCGAACGACATGGCCAAGCCAGCGGAGCCGCTGAATTTTAATTCGCTGCACTATGTCTATATCGTTGTAAAGCTCATACAGCTCATCGTTAAATCGTCTGCGATATTCGCCATCACCAACGCGTAAAGGTCCGTAAATCTTTCGCAGAATCTTTCTCTCGAAAACTCCAAGAGCCGCCTCATCAGATGCTTTCATTGTCCATGCTTCCGCGCCATACACCAGCACAGGCATGATGAGTGACTTATAGAGTGTGATCTTTGTACGACGAGAGAGGACTTTACTTCTCAATTGCCTACTCAGCCCAAAGTAGCACGAGTGATTCTCCGTTGGATTTCAAGGCTGACATTATTATTAGTGTTAATGCTGGTTCCCAAATAAACGAAGTCGTCTACTTTTTCAAACTTGTAACTGTCAACAGTGACGTGGGTGCCAAGACGCGTATGCTCTGACTGTTTGTGTGCTGACAGGAGATACTTCGTTTTGTCCTCGTTCACCACCAGACCCATTCGCTTTGCTTCTCTATCCAATCCCGAGGAGGCAGAACAGACGTAGCCCTTGTTTTTACCGATAATATCGATGTCGTCGGCATACGCCAGCAATTGTACGCTCTTATAAAGTATTGTGCCTGAGCGGTTCTGTTCTGCGGCTCTTATTATCTTCTCCAACATAAGATTAAAGAAATCACACGAAAGGGGGTCCCCTTGTCTGAAACCTCGTTTGGTATCAAACGGCTCGGAGAGGTCCTTCCCTATTCTGACGGAGCTGGTGGTATTGCTCGACGTCATTTTACACAGCCGTATTAGTTTCGCGGGGATACCAAATTCAGACATCGCGGCATAAAGGCAACTTCTCTTCGTGCTGTCGAAAGCGGCTTTGAAATCGACAAATAGATGGTGTGTGTCGATCCTATTCTCGCGGGTCTTTTCCAAGATTTGGCGTATTGTGAATACCTGATCTATGGTGGATTTTCCAGGCCTAAAGCCACACTGATAAGGTCCAATCAGCTCGTTGACGGTGGGCTTCAGTCTTTCGCACAATACGCTCGATAAGACCTTGTAACCTATGCTTAGAAGGCTAATTCCGCGGTAGTTGGCGCGTATGGCGTGGTCGCCTTTCTTGTGGATTGGGCAGAGCACACTTAAATTCCAGTCGTCGGGCATGCGTTCATCTGACCATATTCTGCATACGAGCTGATGCATGCACCTCATCAGCTCCTCGCCGCCGTACTTGAATAGCTCGGCTGGCAGGCCGTCAGCTCCAGCAGCTTTGTTGTTTTTCAGCCGCGTAATCGCTATGCGTACCTCGTCATAGTCAGGCGGTGGGACAGCTACTCCATCATCATCGACTGGGGACTCGGGTTCGTCTTCCTCACTACCCTGAGCGCTGCTACCATTCAGTAGGTTATAAAAGTGTTCCCTCCATAATTTAAGTATATTCTGGACATCGGTCACTAGGTCGCCAGGAGTTCAGCATCTCAAGCTCTTCGCACTCACGTATTTCGGCCTCTCTCTTCTTATTACGGCAAATACGTCTCGCTTCCTTCTTCAGTTCCCTATAAAGGTCCCACATGGCTCGCGTTGCGCCCGATCGCAGCGTGGCCCTGTAGGCGGCATCTTTTTTCTCTGCGGCTTCTTGACATTCCTCATCGTACCAGTTGTTCTTTCGGGCTCGCTGAAATCCAACTACTTCTTCGGCGGCGGTACTTAATGATCGGGAAATGTGGTTCCACTGCTCGCGTACGTCGGATTGTTGAAGAGTGCTCTCAGAGAGCAGGTGTGTGAGTCGAGTGGCGAATAAATTGGCCGTCTGTTGTGATTGCAGCTTTTCGACGTTAAGCTTGCCTTGCATTGTTGGGCGCACATTTTTTGCTGCACAGAGGCGGGTGCGTATCTTGGCTACAACAAGATAGTGGTCCGAGTCGATGTTTGGCCCTCGGAGTGTACGTACGTCCAAAACGCTTGAAGCATGCCTTCCGTCTATCACAACATGATCGATTTGGTTTCTCGTTTTTCGATCTGGAGACAGCCATGTAGCTTGGTGGATGTTCTTATGCTGGAACCTAGTACTACATATTACCATATTTCGGGCCCCGGCGAAGTCGATCAGCCTCAGTCCGTTATCGGACGTTTCGTCGTGGAGGCTGAATTTTCCGACAGTGGCGCCAAAGATCCCTTCCTTGCCCACCTTGGCATTAAAATCGCCAAGCACGATTTTGACATCGTGTCGGGGGCAGCGCTCATATGTACGTTCCAAGCGCTCATAGAAGAGATCCTTGGACGCCTCATCCTTCTCTTCCGTCGGGGCATGGGCGCAGATGAGCGAGATGTTGAAGAATCTAGCTTTGATGCGGATTGTGGCTAGACGATCGTCCACCGGGGTGAACGCCAGTACTCGGCGACGGAGTCTCTCTCCTACCACGAATCCAACACCGAATTTGCGCTCCTTTACGTGGCAACTGTAGTAGACGTCGCAAGGCTTCACGCTTACTTTACCTTGCCCCGTCCATCGCATTTCTTGGATGGCGGTGATGTCAGCCTTTGTCTTCCCGAGGACATCAACCAGCCGGGCAGAGGCACTTCCCCATTAAGGGTCCGGATATTCCAGGTGCATACCCTTAAATCATAGTCCTTTATACGTTTGCCGTGGTCGTCATCAGAAAAAGGGGGTCTCATCCGAGGCTTGTTGGAATTTTTCATTGGGCGGGGTTTTAACGTGGCGGGACCCAAACCCAGCGCAGGCGAAGTTTTACGCCTTCTCACTTTAGCTCGCTCCCAAACGGGTGTTTGGTTGCTACCCAGAGGATACGTGGATATAAATATCCGGACGTTGTGAGCTGCGATTTGAACCGTACGCACAAGAATCGCTTCTGGCCACTCCCAGGTGAATGGCAGTCAAAAGTTTTCCACTTCTGCGCACGGAACCATCCTCCTCGGTTAAAGAAGCTTACAATTATAAAAGTTGAGGAGTAATGGGGAAAGGACACGCTGTCGAACCCCTGTTTTATTTTCCTGGGTTCAACCACTCAGATAATTCGCCGACCACCGTTTGAGTCCTCCAAGTCTTCTAGTAGCCTGGAATGACTGACGGTATCAAGCGCCTTTGATAGGTCCAACGCTACTAGAACAGTTCTCTCACAGGGGCTGTTGCGGTTTAGGCCACGTATTATCTGGGTGTTTATAGCGTTAAGTGCTGCTTTTGTGCTGTGCACTTTACGGAAACCATGCTGATGCTTCGCTAGGGTCAGGTGGTTCGTAAAATAGGGGAGCAGTAAGCCCTGTATTGTCTTCACTGCCGGCGAAAGGAGGGTTTTCAGGCGATAAGGCTCTGCTTTGTTGGCTGGTTTCCCCGGTTTGAGCAGTGGGATCACTCTCCCACTGGTCATTCACAGATTGAGGACCTCGGCTAAATAATCTACTTCCGCAGGACCGAAATTTTTCAGCATCAACATACATATTCCATGGCTTTGGAGGCTTTCGCCTTCCCGATGTCTACCTGAACTTCACTGCTAACGAAAGCAAGAGGCGCACTTGTTGTTGGCAGTTTGTTAAGCCTTCTGGTCACTCTACGTTTGGCTTTGTCCACAGGAGAATGCAGCGTGAATAGTCGGCTAAAATAGCTCGCGCATTGCAACGATTGGAAAGTGACCTCACGGTTGACCAAAGCTTACTCACACCAGAGGTGAAGTTGCAAGTCTTCAGATGCTCTTCCGCTTATGTTGGTTTACAAGCTGCCGAATCTCCGTATTGAGATCCGTGATTTCTGACGAAGGTTGTCACGCTCATCTGCTAGAACAGCCGCTTCAGTTGGAAAGTTCGGACGGGGGTCCGTTATACAACCGGCTGGGACGAAGCGAGCTGCAGAGCAGGTGACAACCCTGCGGAACTTACACTCACCTACGTGAACGTCGGTTATTATGGGGAGGGCAGAGGGGATTTTCAGTAGATTCCGCGAAGCCTTTCCAATCAGCTTTAGAAAAATTGATATACCTAGGTCCGGTGCTCCGCGGAAGCAAAGTCGGCAGGTTTATCAATCGAGATGACTATGGGCAGATGGTCTCATGCTAAGATAAGCATAGGTCACCACGTTATGCTGTTTATCAGACCAGCGCTTACAATTGTTATGTCTGGGGAGTTGCAACAGCTGCCCATAATCCTGGCAGGTGCGTCGTCGCTCATTGCGCAGAATGTCGAATCGTCTATCTGCTCAGATAAGTGTGTTCCCCAAGGATCATTTCACAGGATTGAAGGCCCGTTAAAGTCGCCAACTACCATACGGGTTTCACCTCTCACAAGCGCACCTATTTCAGGGTGATATCTTCCCGGGCAGCCGGTCACAGGGGCTATATAAACGTTAATTGTTTCGAGCTCGACATCGCCTGACCGGATAACAGTACCCTGCCATTCTTGGATGGTATCACTGCGATCGATGTCTGCTTCGATAAGTGTACTGCACGATGTGGTGCGTGATGAACGCTAGCCCACCACCATTATCTCGCTCGTGATTTCGGCGGTGCACATTGTATTCGTCGCAACTCAACAATGTTGAATTGCTGTGCAACTTCGTCTCTTGGACCGCAGCTATTAATATTCCATGCCGGCCCATAAAGGCGGTTATCTCATCGACCTTGCTCTGCAGTCCGTTGCAGTTGAATTGCGTCTAGGTAGACTTATTGTCTTTTGTTTTTTGATTTCGCTTGACAGGAATTGTAAATACATTTTGGTCAGCGAACTATCTGAGTAGTCGACACCAGGGCTGAGCACGCTGCACTGAGCATTTCATTACCACTAATCGTGTAGTGGTAGTGAAATTTGAAATGCATTACGACTAAGTGCATAGTGGTAGTGAAGAAAAATTTTTTCACTACCACAAATTGTTTTCACTACCACTATGCGCTTAGTGGTAATGCATTTCAAATTTCACTAAAATGTGTCACTACCACTAGCTGCTTCGTGGGAGTGGAAAAAATTTTCACTATATGGTTAGTGGACTACCACTATGCGCTTAGTGGTAATGCATTTACTACCACTAACCATATAGTGAACATTTTTTTCACTACCACTAAGCATCTAGTTCAGCATTTTAAATTTCACTACCACTTAGTGCTTAGTGGTAGTGAAAAACTAGATGCTTAGTGGTAGTGAAAAAAATGTGTCACTACCGCCATTCAAAGGGATTCGGTCTCAATTGCGTCTGCCTCGAGTGACTCGCACCATTCTGATACCACTCCAATCTGGATACTGCAACAGGTTAAATTTTAACCTGAGCAAGAAACTCAGATGTGGCCAACACGTATTCGGCATGCGAATAGTCTTCCCATGACTCGACACCAGTGTTGCCAGGTTAGTTATTTTTCAGCTAGATTTAGCTGTTTTTTCGCCGTTTAGCTAGAAAAATTCCAATTTAGCTACTAACTTTTTTAGCTTCTTTTTGAAAGTCTTTTAGCTCTTTCTAGCTGAACAAATAATCTATTATTGCCATGCTATGTTCATCATTAACATACTTTTGGCACAGTTTTCTGTCGGCGGCGGGATAGCTGAATATTTGCACAATTGCAGAAATATGGAAAGGTATAAATTATCGAATTTAATAATTAACATTTACTATTCAATAGATATTTCAAGAAAGTTGATATGCCCGCACCCTAAGAGAGTATTATCGAGGCAGACAATACAAGCTCAAGCAGTTCCACCGAAGAGAAGCCTCCGCCTAGAATTTTTCACAATTTCAGCAATTGTCAAAAATCTGCTTTTTTAATCAAAAAGTTAGTAATGAAACTACCTTCTTTTTTGTATCATGCAAATAACCTTTGTTTATTGGATGTAGGAAATATGTACCTATTTTGCTATTTTTTTGGGAAAAAAACTTTTAAAACATTTGAATAGTTGCCTTTACAAATTTAGCTTTTTTTAGCCTTACAAATTTTTTATTTAGCTGTTTTTAGCTCTTTTTTTTTGTCCAATTAGCTGGATCGCTGGAAAAATTCTGGCAACACTGCTCGATACACCTTTTCGCATGTTAACAAAATCCTACTCCCCTCTCTCTCAGGTCGGAGTGGCACATTTCCTGGGCCGCCAATTAGTTGAGCTTGAGGATAAGGGTCAGGAGACAAGCCGATCTGGGCTAAGCAAACAACTACAGTAACAACAACAAAAACAACAGCAAGGGGTTATGTCGGTGTATCTTCACCAAGTCACTCTTTAAATGTAAAAAAAAACTTTGAGCTGATATTAGTCCAACCGCCACAAAAACTCACTGCATCAACTAATTTGTACTGGAACTTGACCGCATTGAACTTTCATATTTAAAATAATTTTAATATACATATGTATGTACGTATTCGCTATGACTACATATTGTTATTATTTGTGAGCTATTTTGATGTATGTAATTGCCTGTGCATTTATGAGTATTTTCTTGCGCCGCGTAGACGCTAGATAATGCTTCTTGCATTAAAAAATTTACTAGACGCTAACTTAGTACGAACCGAATTGCGTTAGAAGTCGGATGGTTATTTAAAAAAAAAAAAAAACAGAAATACATAGTACCAAGAACAAAAGTACATACGAGTATATTAGAACGCGCGCAATGTTTAGAAGAATCACATTGTTGCTGTGCTATTTGTTGAGCCTCTTACTGGTTAGTGTATAATAAATTAGCATCACCTTATTTAAAAATAATCGCAAACATTCTATGCAACTACGTTGCTATATACTCATAGCTCATTAGCGCCTTATCAAAGGCAAATCAAGCTAGCAGCAGCACCTCTCAGCTGCCTACACAACAGCATGAAATATCTGCCGAATTGAATACGCCTGGACGTCCACTCGCTAAACACGAAGATGACAGCGGGTATAACAACATTATTAGCAATGAAAATAGCAACAGCAAATTGAGTGGACGTGACAGATTACTTTTCTATACGCTTCATCACTTTGCGGTGCTCTCGAACTTTACTGTCCAGCATGGCACTGAAGTTTTGCAAAAAGTTCTAAAAGAAGCAGCTACACTCAATGAGTCCACAGATGCTTTGAGATCACACCTGCTTAGTTTTGCGGATTATATAGCACGTGCCGAACAACTAAACGAAAAACCGGCCGATGAAGTGAAGGTGGGCGAACTATACGACATGGTCGTACAATTTACAGAGCTGGTGGACCGATACAATACAACCGCGGTGGAGAATGCCTCCACTGAGACTTTGTATTTAGAAATATCGTTGAAGCAGAATGGATTAGATAAGCTACACGTGGATTTCTTACAACACTTTCTCGATTTCGTCGATGGGTTCAGCGCTCGAATGGATAATTATTTGAAAAGTTTGAGGCCCGAGCAACGGTTGAACGAGCGAAAAATGATGGAGTGGTATCGTAAGCTTAATGATGAAACGGACGCGGAGAAGAAAGTGGAAATATTCTCCAAGTTTTTTACACTATACGCATGAAAATGTGCGATAAAATATTGAATTGTAAAATAAAAATTATGCATGCATGTATAAATATTTATTTATCGCCACAGTGTAAATAATATTTATGTATATCTATGTATTTAGAAAAGTGTATGCAAATTATAGAACTTAATTTGTTGTGCTAGTTAAAGAAATAAATCCAAAACGCATGTACAGGAAGAACTTATGAGAATAAAAAAAAAATTATTATGTAAATAAAACAAGTAAAAAAGTCTACACAAGTTCGGGCGAAGAAAATAGCACTTCCCATCTTATTATATATTTAAATAGATGTATTTTGTCAATTACAACTATAAAAGCTCAACAAAAAATTCTTTTGTTAGTACACTAATTGCTCTAAGCATCATGCCATCACAAATGGATGTTTCTTTTTGAAGACTTTCCTGGCAGAAATACCCTTAGGGGTTTACCGAGCACCGACTGCTATTCGAAAAAAAAGCTTTTGTTTCTTGGTCGAAACAGGAATCGTACCTGGGTAGGTGGAACTACCACTGATTTACTGATAACATTCGATTAATTTATATGGGAACACTTTTCCATCCCAGTGAATGGTAGCAATGTGGAGAAGAAGAACCCGAGACACCAGTCGAGGATGACGGAGCCGATGTTCCACCACCTGACTATGACGAGGTACGAATAGCAATAACGCGGCTGAAAAGCAACAAAGCTGCTGGAGTTGACAGCCTGCCAGCTGAGCTATTCAAGTACGGCGACGAGGAGTTAATAAGGCGCATGCATCAACTCTTATGCAAAATATGGTTAGGTGAACGCATGCCCAACGATTGAAATTCAAATGTGCTCTGCCCAATCCACAAGAAAGGTGACCACGCCATTCGCGTCAACTACCGCGGGATCAGCCTTCTAAACATAGGTTAAAAGGTCTTATCGAGCGTATTGTGTAAAAAACTGAAGCCCACCGTTAACGAACTGATTAGGCCTTATCAATGTGGGTTTAGACCTGGAAAATTCACCATTGACCAGGTATTCACAATACGCCAAATCTTGGAAAAGACCCGCGAAAAAAGGATCGATTGTCGACTTCAAAGCCGCTTTCGATAGCAGTAAAAGGAGTTGCGTATACGCCGCGATGTCTGATGTGTGAAACTGATACGGCTGGGTAATACCGTTGGTGACGTTGAGCAATACCACCAGCTCCGTCAGAATTGGGAAAGAGCTCTCCAAACCGTTTGCGGGGTTTCAGAGAGGGCGCCTCCCTTTCATGTAATTTCTCTAAACTGTTGTTGGAGCAGATAAAAAGAGTTGCAGAACTAAAATGCTCAGGAAAACGTTTTTACAAGAGCGCGCAATTGCTGGCATACGCTGATAAAACCGACACCATCGGTAACAAGAACCGCGAAGTCTATTCTGCCTTTTTCAAAATGGATAAGAAAGCAAAGCGAATGGTTCTGGTGGTCAACGAGGACAAGACGAAGTATGGCTGACTTCCAAAACGTCAATTGCTTTGCATGCGTACAAAGTAGAATGTCCCATAACGCATTCGAAAAGTTATCGAAACGCATCGCTAGAGCAATCAGTGCATCAGAAACAAAGTTGATGCTTCGTTTGTTTTTGGTTACCATTGCTGTTTTAAAAATGGAAAATGCAGAAAAATTGTTCATTGATGAATTGAATATTTAAAATATGCAATGTATAAAGTTGCAATGTGACGCAACTCTGCATATACAAACAGTTTGAATACCGCAGTATAACAGTTTCCAAACATTGTATTGATACGTTTTGGAAGTCAGCCTATCTCCTGGAATCAAATAAACAGTCAGCGCAGTCATCATAACCGTGCTGATATATGTCGCAGAAGCATGGACAATGACAACATACGATGAGCCGGCTCTTGGGAGTATTCGAAAGAAAGATTTTGCGGATGATTTATGGGCCTTTACACATTGGCGACGGAAGATGGAACGATGAGCTGTATGAGCCTTACAATGGCATGGACATACTGCAGCGAATTAAAATACAGCGGCAACGCTGGCTTGGCCTTGTAGTTCGAATGTACTCAGACGCTCCAGCTCTAAAAGTATTCAACTCGGAACCCGCTGGTGGCAGCAAAGGAAGAGAGAGCCCCCCCCCCTGTAATGCAAATATCAAGTGGAGAAGGACTTGGATTTACTTGGCATTTCCAATTGGCGTCAATAGGCACAGAAGAGAAACGACTGGCGTGCTTTGTTGAACTCGGCCAAAATCGCTTAGGCGGTTACAGCGCCAAATTAGAAAAATGGGTAATAGAGATGCGAATACTTTCCACTTTTGGATCGTAAATGTCTTCGTCTTCTTGCCCGAAGCAGCCCGGACTTTTTTCCGTTATTTGTTTAAAAATTTTGTAAAAATACAAAAATGGAAAACAGCACTAAAGGCTCAGAAATGTAGGTATTTGCTAATTTTATTAGCTATATAAGATAAATACACATAAAATCATTGTTTAGAATTGATTTATTGATTCCGGGCTAGAAATGTGGTTTTATGCGTTCCTCACACTCTGGGCACTTTTAGCACGGGTTGACACATTTTTGACACTTGTAAGAGAGTAAGGGCCGGTTTCTCTATCTCCGGTTAACACTTATCCCCCGGTAAACATCGTTACCGACCTTATCGACTCCCTGTTATATGCATGGAGTTAGAACGTCGATAACAATGTTTAACCGGGGAGTTAGTGTTAACCAGAGATGGAGAAACCGGCCCTAAATCGGCCAAACACTTAGAAAAATTTAAGCGCTAAAATATGATTTTTTTACACTAATAAAAAATTAATAAGATTTTTTTTTCAGAGTAATTTTTGGTTTTTGCATGTTAGCGATTTGAGATTTTTGAACATAAAAAGTGTTTTTTTTAAACAATCTTAAATATGAGTTTGTTTAATCGGTTGCAGAGTGGAAGTACAAGCTGAGGCTGTATCTGAGTGCGCAGAGACGCTTACTACTATTTGTTGGCTTTCAGGAGGGTTCGGGTTCGAATGGCATTAAACGGAGGAAATCTTTTTTCCCCGTTTTTCTTAATTACGAAAAAGCATCTGTGAAGTGCAGAATGAAATCGTGCTCAAACGAAAAAATTTCCAAAAATAAATCTCTTTTTTTCGTTCTTTCTTCCACACAGGTGTTGGTATACTGTTTATCCCCAAATAACCTAGGATATAATTTTGAAATACATTAGGGCTTTCCCTTAGACTGGAAAAAGCCTTGAAAACTTCGAAAAACTCTAAACTTTTATTGGGAGGTCAAAATTCGTATGAAATGAAAAAAACGGGTGTTCGATAAAAAATCGATTTATTCGATATTCGAAAAACAAAAAAAAAAACACGTGGAAACCGCTTTGGAAAAACCGAGTCAATCACCTTACACACAACGGATAACTGTAGATCAAAATATATATACCTAACCTAAATCAGCAGTGACGGCTGCTCCTAGTTCTCAATGGTACAACCGACCGCAGCTACCCCCTACACTCTGAGGCGAGTTTAGTCGCCCGGCTTTTATACCGCTTCTCATTGAATTGCACCACAGTGTAGAGCTCGAGTCATATATACATATATACATATGTATGTATATAGGGCTAGAGCGGATTTATTACGGTATTGCGGTACTGACATACGTATTTATATGTATGTCTGTGTATATATGTATATTATGGAATAAACATAAAAGTACTGTTATCGATTAAGTTGTGTATATATAAAAGTCATATAACATACATTCGCAGTTAAATAAATACTTACAAATACATTCGCAAGAAGTAGATTCCTGTGCACATATGTACATACATATGTACATATATAGAATATAGCATGTTCATACTACCTCAATGCATAAAATTGTACGTATTATGGAGTTATGTATTATGAATGCCTTCATGTCGTAAATATAAAGAATTCATTGAGACATAAAGAGAAGCTATCCCAAAACGCAACTGAAAGCATTGCAGAGGAGCATTATTTTTCCATTGAAAGTTGCTCAGAGTGTGCGTTCATACAGTGTATTTTGCATACTTGCATACACTATGGAACAGAAAAAGGTAGTCAAGTTAAAAATTTCTTAAAATGAACTTAAGAAGAAATTAACATTATTACAAAGAGTCATGAAATTTTATTTCAATAAGATTTTTCTTACAATTCAAAAAAAAAAAAATTTATCAAATTTAGTAGGAGTATTTTTAGAACTAGCGCTCATATGGTTGTCAAAAGCCGTATGTGTGTATGTAGTAACAATTGCTAACTAATTCGCACTAGTTTTTTGTAGTGTCAATTGATTCTTTAAATATGCTACTGAATGAATTAGCGAATTCTACTCACCCGCTGAGTGAATTTGATTTCATAGTCAACAACTTCATTTAGCAGTCGAGTGTTGACGCCACCTGTTCATGTACGCGTTGTCCATCACATGTCGCCAAGTGTACATATGTACTCTTATAAGTATGTATTTATGAACGCGTGTGATTTTTATGTATGAAAATATGTATGTAATTGGGTGTTGAAAATGCAAGCAATTGATTCCAATTAAAAACAAGTTCGCAAATCGGTGCGCTCAAGTGCGAATATGAGGCGCACTATACGTTACCGGGGAGTTGGAGGAAGAGCATCTAAAATAAAATATATTCGAAATTATAAATATGAAATAATATATGTAACAAATTTCATGTGTGTGTGTGTGCAAGTGTGCGAAAAAAATTGTTTAACTTTTTCTTGCAGAAAAAAAAAACAATAAAGTGCTGATTATAAAACAAATTCTACCAAGAATAAGAGCCGTTTTCTCATGTAGGTTTTGAAATTTAACTGCCTTTTAAAGACAAACTTTGTTCTGATAAATGTGTTTGGAAGGCAGATAAATTTTAAAACCTATATGAGAAAACGTCACTAAGTCTTTTAAAACAAAATTTTTATTACGAAACCTATAGAGCACGGGTACTTAGGAAATCGTCTTCACTTAAACTATACAAAGCCCGAAAACTTTGGAACCTTTCAAACCGAAAACGCATCGAAAGCACCTAAACTTTTATTTACCTAACGGTAAAAAAATTTATAAAATATTTTGTGAGTTTAAGTTAAACGAATTTACTATTTCAGAACTGAAAATATCTTGAGACTAGATTAAAAGAAAAAAAACTAACAACCATAACGAGATTTAAAAATTCAAATACTAAACAGACTACTTTGTAAAAAATAACTGCAAATTTATATTAAAATTATTTTGTACATCTTAACCTTTGCGTATTTTTTTTTAAATTTTAGTTTTCTCATCAGACTGGAGTTTAACAGCTTTGAAAAAAATCAAAATTAAATGTTTTAGAAAACAAGAAATTAAAAAAAAATTTGTTTAGGACTAGCTTTATTTAATGGTTGATCACCTAACAGCTATTTTTCTTAATAGTTTTTTTCCATTTAAGTAATATTTGTTCTAAAAAATATGAAACAAATCGGACCTTAAATACGTATTTTCCAAATATCTCGACACCTGCGCCACCTAGCGCATTAATTATTTTTTTATATTGCATTGTCATCGGACATCCGAGCTAAGTTTGAAGTTTAAAGTATCTGGCTTATAGGAAAGTTGGTAAAAAATTACAAGATCTGATTACACACAGATGAGGCATAACAAAAGCGTGTAAAAAATAAAAAATTTACAAAATTCAATAACTTTGTAAAAAATAGCTGCAAAAATATATTAAAAATTCATGTGTGGTATTTTTTTCTTTATAAAGAAAATACTTTTGTACATTTCAATAATTTTTCTTTTAATTTAGCGTTTAGCATTGTTTTACTTACTGTAATTACCTTTTAGACCAAAAAAGCTCATCAAAAAGAACAAAATATTAAAAATTATGTTTTTCTTGCTTTGCACATCCGGCATTTGGGTATATTTTTTTTAATTATAGTTCTCTCATCAGCCTGAAGTTTTATAAATTTGAAAAAAAAAAAATCAAAATCCGTTCTTTTTAAAAGCTTCTACTACTTGTACTACCATGTGTCAATATAAGTTTTGAGCTTAGCTGAGCATTTCTCTTGCTTTACTATCACATTGATTTTTTTTTTTTTTTAATCACTTTTATGATATTACAAAATAAGCAATTTTTTTCCTATATATGTATATAATTATTTGCTGTTACCAGTTATCAAGTGATTTCAGCAATGGTGCTAATGATTCAAATAAACAAAATCAAAGTTAATTCAATATGCAATTTTTTCGATAGAGCCTCACAATATACGAGCTACTGATGAAGCTAACGTTACGAGGTGATTAGATTTTGATAAAAAAGTGTATTTTTAAGAAACATCGAACCGGCGAATTAGGCGAATTTATATCAGGTGCTGTTACTAGATCAGCTGATTTTGTGTATGTGTCTAGCCTCACGGCTTCTTGTGTCAAATTGAAAGATTTTATTTGCATGTCCACACACACTCTAACAGTTTTGCTATCACCTTACATTAATTCGCCTTGAATGTATTTCATCCTAAAATTTTCGATGTATAAAATATTCTTTTTATTGATTTTTGTATTGAGTTTTTTTTTATTAGTAAATTTTTTTTTTGGCATTTTCATGCCAAAGCATGAGCTGAGCTAAAAAAAAAAATTATGAAATCTTTAACAATTGCAGAAATTTGAACAAATTGCGAAGTATATCCACCTCCCCCAAATTTATATCCCTCCAAATCTGCGCTTTCGCAATTCCACCCAGAACGATGCACAGTCACCAATCACACAATTGCACAAACTTCGCACGTACATATGTACATACAAATGTATTCTTTGCGATAAACTGAGACTCCTCTATTTGTTGCGTGTAGGGTGTGAAAATATCAAAACATACAAAACAAATCAAAGAGATATTGCAATTTCTCTTTTATTAAGTGTAATGTATAAAAGACTATAGACATGATAAACAATTTCAGTTGCATCTCAGTCATTGGTGTGTGGTATAGCATTTTTTCGCTGAGAGAATGTGGAAGAAAGCGATGCTGCCACTGCTGCTGCTGCTGCTGCTGCTCACCGCATTACTCTTAGCACAGGTGAGTCGAGTCCACGGCATTTGTTTTTCCCCACTATCATCACTAGACGCTTGCTTCTAATAATATTTATAAACAAATCTGACCTTAAACTACATGCAAACTAAACAAGCACATAAAAATAAATACATACCAAACACAATCACAACAACAACAATTCTATACAACAACTGAATTCTATAGTTTATTTGCATACGTATGTATGTATGTATGTATGTATGTAGTATGTACTAATCAAAACATCTATCTATTTACTTAGTTGGTCGCAGCAACGGAATCAACGCAACTGCCAGTTAATGCAAAAGACATCAGTACCAGTAATAGTAGCACAGAGCGCTCCATAGAGACAACATTGGATATAAACGACAAAGACGACGATGCTCATGATGACGCTGATGAGGCAACAGTTGAAACATATGAAGAAACTGCTGATGATGATGAGGAGAGCAGCGTAGTGACAAAGAAAGCGATACCGCAATTAATGAAAACAACACCACCCAGTGAAGATGCTGACGCAGGCGTAAGCGTAGGCGAAGGCGAAGGCGAAGGCGATGCCGGTGACGACGTTGGGAGTGTTGAGGATGAAGGCGATGTCGATGACGATGGCGAAGCCACTACGACCGACGAGGGTAGTGGGGGTGGCGGTGGCGGTGGCGGTGGCGGTGGCGATGCCGTTGACGATGAAGGTGGTGGCGAAGACGTCAGCGGCGGCGGAGACAGTGATGCCACTACTGTTGCCGGTGTTGGCGATGAAGGCGATGAAACAACCGAGCTGTTGCCGCCACTTAAGCTACGCGGGCGCGATCGGCTTGCGGTTATAATGATGCGCGAAGTTACCCAGTTGATTGATTATGCATTGGAGCAACAGAGATCGGTCGTCAACCAGTTTCTACAAGACGACACAATTGAGATGGTGAAATGTGCAACAATGGAGGCGGTGAAAAAGAGCTGCGCCTCATTTATAGCGGGTGTGAGAGACGCCCTCAAAATGGACAAAGGCGATGATTTTGCAACAAAGTTTATACGATTCGGTGTGAAAACGTTGATGGCGAGAAATTTCGAAGCATTTGTGGATCAACATAATACGACGCGCATAAAGCAACCGACAGCGGAAAATGTGATTATTGATAATGCGCTGAAGAAGGCGGGTGTGTTGCAGATCGAGTTGGAAATGCAGCAACGTTTTGTGGAATTTTCAAAAATGTTCAATACAACAGTGGGTGAATATGTGGATCGGCTATTGCCGAGTGAACGGAAGTTAGATGAAACATTGGTGGTGTGGTATGGAGAGTTTAATGCAGCGACGAATGTTAGTAGTCAAGTGAGTGCGTTGACAAAATTTTTCCCGCTGTACAAAAATATTTTTGATATCGAAATTGAGTCGAATTGATGAGTGATAAGAGGGTCGGGAAAAATTTTAAAAATCAACAGTATAAAATATAGTTATAAAACAGTAATAAGGAAATTAAATGTTCAATTAAAAATAAAAATATGTTCTAAATAAAAAAATAGTGATAAGTTAAAGATGAAAACAATGAAAATTAATTTAAAAAATCTCAGTATATGTATGTATATGTGTACATGTGTAAGCGTTGTGTAGTAAGTTCTACCTATGTAAATAAAGTATTAATAATTTATGTATGCTAAGTGCCAAAAATTATTTGAGTTTAAAGCTTTCTTCTTCAAAAAAAAAACGATAGCTTTTATAGTTCTAAGTTTACAAAACTAAAATTGGATAAAATATATATGTCATAAATTTACCGTATCGGCCATAGCATAATTCTAAAATCACAACACACAATCATACTAAATTCGTGCGTACAGTAAATTTGTTACCAAATAAAATACTAATTTTTTTATAAAAAAAAAAAAATGTTTTAAATGCTGGTAGTACGTATCTAAAACGAGTAAGTATAATACAGTAGTTGCCTATAAAATGGAACCACTTCGTTCTTGGGAGTGCTGTGGGAATGCTTTCGAATCTCGAAACACAAATCCGCACAGTATACCTTTGAAACCTGGCCAAGGATTCTTGCAATTTTTACCTAAGCCAAAAATTTAGAAAATATGAGAAAGAAATATTTTTTATAAACGAATTGTGCATCGCCGTGTTTTTATATATTTTTTTTATTTGATATTTAACCAAGTGAAATAAAATTTTGGAAATTACCTCTTCTAGTTTAAATGTGTGCTTTGAGGGTATTACGGTGTCCTAAAAAATTTCGCCCTTGACTACATGAATAAGGATTCCTTCTACATAAAATTTGTATTCATTTTATGTTTTTAAGGCGTGATAGATCGCTAAAAATGTACCTTTGAGCGCTATAAACCACTTTTATAATAATAATATAATAACGCCTTAAAATCTATGTAATTTAATTTATAAAAGAAAGCACATAAATAAATGTTTAAAAGCAACAACAATTAAAAAAAAAAATAAAACAAAATTTTGTATAAAAACATTTAAAAATTTTTCTGGTCTGCAGTGTGGTAGGCCATTCAATTTTAAAAATTTAGAATTATGTAGATTTTGATCATGGAAGAAAATGCGCAATACCCTCATAAAAAAAAATTCTAAAACATCAACGGTAATTTTTAGCGACTTGAAGCTTGCACTTCTTTAGACTAAAATTGAATGGGCTACAAAACTGCATTACCGAAATTTTTCGAAGGTTCATAATTTTTTTTTGAAATTTGTGCAAGCTTTGAAACTTTTATTTATGTGGTTTCGGTTATAGATTAATATAATTCAATGAAAATTATTAAAAATAAATAAATAAACATAAGAAACGGTAAAAGGCCTAGTCACGCCCTTTTAGTTTTCTTTGACTACAATACAAGACCGCATTTATTTTTTCCTTCTTTCTCATATTACTAAAAAAAAATGTAGATAGGCTTATCTGGCCCTAATGGCCTCATATGTATGTATATTCAAAAGATATCAATAATTGAGAACATTTGTAAAGCAAAACTCCCGAAATCAGACAAAACGTATATGTGTACATGTATATACATATGTATATATTTTAGAAGATACAAAGAGCTCATATTTACATACATAAATATATTCACACAAATGTACGTTCAAATTCAATGTGCAATATGTGCACAACAAATAAGTTTGTTTGCAAAGTAATAATCAATCTAAACATCCATACAGATGAATGCATAATTTTACAAGTACGTTTTTAAATAAATATACTATACATACACTTCTGGTCAGCTGATTAAGTCAAGTGACATTTTGACTAGGTTCGGCTATTTTTATTTCCTTTATCTAATGTTTACATTTTTTTAATAAAAGTTTAGCACTTTACCTATTTAACCAGTGCCCCATAAATCCATATTTCAAACTTCGCACAAAAATTATGAAAATTCAACAATCTTTAACAATAGCTCCAAAAATTGTTCATTCACTTTTTATATTAGTAGGTTAAAGTGCAAGTTTTAAGACGCTTGAAAATCGCGATAAAAATTTGCCCTTTAATCTGCTGAAATTTAATCAGCTACAAAACTGTATACCCAAGACTTTTATAAAAAAGATATAAGAATTAAATAAACAAAAGAAAAATAGAAAAAATCCCACTTGACTTAATCAGCTGACCAAAAGGGTATACATATGTAGGTGAACATATAAACAGATTTTTTTTTGTACGAAAATAAAACTATTCGCAAAATATTTTTGGTAATTTCCAGCATATAAACATATCAATGCTTGTACTAGGTATGCATGTGTGGAAGAGTACACTAAGGGGAATTTTCTGAATACAGACTTAAGTAATACCCTACACAAATCTCAATCAATCAATTTCGTTAGCTTAAATAAATTGAATGCCGCGGCCTTGGAACAAATATGTATATATGTACCCAAACATGTGTGCTTGTGACATATTTATGTACGCAAAAAATTTACGAGTATATATGCGCATAAATAAAAAAAATTCATACGAAAATATATGCATCTAATTACTCCATCCAATACCAATAAAATTTGGCAAATATTTAAATAAAAAAACCTTGAACCTGACTGCAGTCGGCGAAGAAAAATCGATTTTGTACTGGACGAACGAATAACTGAGCATGAGTTTTTGAATAAAGCACAGAGAATGTATAAAGTTTGTTATTTATTTTGCCAAAAAAAAAAAAACAGTATTTGTAATGGCTTGAAAGCAAGTGATAAGGAGAGATTATTTTCGAGTACGAACATACAGGCATATTTATGTACATATATATGTACTCTACCCCTGAAGTGAATAGCGAAACGTACTTCGACGAGTATTTACTAGGTTCGTCAGAATGTTAAACAAATCTGCTTACTTTTAAATTAATAATCTCCTTCCCTTAGGCGACTAGTAGCGGTAATAATACAGGATATTGGCGCACAAAGAGAAAAGTGACTGTTCAACGCTTTTCCTGCTATTAAAGCTTTCAGCTAGGAGTATAAAAATTTATAAGCTTTGAAAAGAGCTGATCACTTGAAGAACTTGGTGTGAGCTTGTACTCTTTGCTTTATTGAGATCATGGTGTTACGAGGTGACTCTAGACGTCAACATTATTATCGGCGCCTATTGGAAAGTTTACAATTAGGGTATTTTTGAATGCATTCCAATAGAGCTTCCGAGCGTAAAACTCCGGAAGTAGCGGTGGACTTGTTGTGGTATAAGGCCTTGAAGTAATTGGTGGATCTTTTCCCTTCACTTGTTTTCTACCGCCGTTGGGCTCGATATTTGTACTAAGTATGCGCGATGAGCACCGACGGCGTTAAATGGCGATAAACGGCGATCCCATTGCTCGAGAAGTAAGCAGAAGTAAGCAAGCTCCTAATAAAGTTCTGCCTTGACAGCAGAGGCAAATAAACTGCACCAATCTTGAAGAACTAGCTATAAAAGGTAGGAGGTCTCTAAATAAGTTTACCGTAAAGGTACCCACAAATGGTTGTGGTTTTAAGAGTTCATGCGTGTTTTCGAAAGCTGCAGCGTTGATGAGCTCTCAGGTATGAAAATCAGTTTTCAGTCAGATAAATAAATGTTCCCTGACGCGGAAAAATGGAACGTATATGTGCTTAAGCCTGTGATCTATTTTAAGCTGTAAGTAGGCAAGTGAATTACTAGATTATACTGCCACACAAAAAATGTCTCAGGGTTCGGGGATCAGACTATCATTTCTTTATGTATTTTGAATACGAATATCTATTACAATTTGCTCCATAACTTCAGTACTGTTTTAAACTCAAAAAACTTGCCTGTTACATACTCCCTGCTATGTTTTTTGAGGTTAGGTAAAAACACTGACGCGACGGAGCAAAACTGACTTTGGGTTCGTGTTCAGCGCATCAAAATACATAAGGAAAGCATAGCCTCGACACTTTGTTTGTGTGGGGCTATGGATGAAGAGACGAGTGTGCAGTAGGCGGGGAGTGGTGAAATCCATTTTTGGAACTGCACAACCCTTACATTTACAAGACTTTAAAATCTTTATTAAAATCTTCAATGCCTCGTGAAGATACTATCGTGGCATTACTATGAGTCAAACTGTGCTTCCGTGTTTCATATACTAATTGTATCAAACCTCGGAGTTGCATTGATTTTTAATATAAATTCCTAATTAATCCAGAAGACTTTGTTGATCGCTATAGGCAATGTAGGGTGCAAGTTTATCAAATTCAAATCTGAAAACCAACAAAAACTTACACATAATGTATTTTTTAATCTGTCTTCATTTCAAAATGGTATATAATTTAAGTAAAATAATGCAAATGATTTATTTTGATTTCAACATTCAGGGCGTAATAATATTATAGTGCGGAAAAAGTGAGAATATGTGGAGGAAAGCGACGTTTTTGCTGTTACTTTCTTGCATTTTACTGCAGGTAGTGTATTTTTAATCAAAACACATAAATAAATCAAATGTTTTAAAAATGTTTCATGTTAATTAGATTGCTTCAGCAAGACATCTGACGTGGAAAGATGATAGTGGCGAAAGTGATTCGAAGGAGTCCAACGAAAAGGTACAAGTGAACAAACGTAAATCTAGCGACGAAAGCTCCAACGATAGTGATTCTTCTGAAGAGCATGCGTCACATGGCAACTTGTTAAATGAATTTTTGAAAAATTACTCAGTGTTTATCAAATCCGTAACAGAAAAAGAGAAATCGGTGGCTAAAAATTTTATTGAAAACAAATTGGTTTCAAAAGTTAGAAGCCCATCTATGAATGCAGTTAAGGAAAGTTTCTCAAAGTACATAAACGAAGATATCGAAATTCCAAAGCGTAAAGATGCAGACTCGATTTTACGGTACTTAAATGTCAGTGTGACTTCATTCAGTGATTTCTTGATGTTGGTCGATAAATATAGTCCACAAAGCCTAAGAGAACCCAATGCAGAGGAAGTGCTAATACAAGAGGCACTCCAAGAGGCAGGCGTAGATAATTTGTTGGAAGACGTACCAAATCGTTTCGAAGATTTCTATAAAACGTTTGGTGAGAAGGTACGCAGTTATATTAGACAACTAACAGCGGTTGAGCGGGAAAATGAAATAAAACTGGTCGACTGGTCCGATGAATTCAGCTCGGCTAAGGGCTTCGAAAACAAAATAAAGGAAATTCGTCAGTTCTTTTCGGTATATAACCCAAATGAAGTTTAGTAAAATTTAAAGTTTTTTGCAAGGCGAATTCATATAAGGCGAATTGTGCTGATTATCAAAAGTTTTTGTTTTTGTGCTGTCGCTATCTCCTTGTATGAATTCGCCTTGCCTTTTTGTGAAAGGTGTAAAAAGATAACAAATGAAAATAAATTTTTTTGTAAAAATGTATTCATATTGTGTAATAATTTTACTGATTCATTGTTTTTAAACTGTTTGCCAGCAAAGCTTTGTCCTCTAAGAGCCCTTGAGGGACAAACATGAAGAATTATAATTTTTCGCAAGATTAGTTAAATTCTTTTTTCAATGGCGTTTTTGAACTGAATTCTGAGAGTGGGCTGATCTTCCACTCAGGTGTCGATACAGAGTCATTTTCCTCGCTCCATGCATTATGGGTCTGCTTCGATATTTTCAGTAATTGGAAATTGGAAGTGCTGAATCGTTTTTTTTTCCTCATCTTAATTCCGACAACATTTCCATATTTGTATAGAGAAGTTAATGGTATACGCCATCGCACTGTGGGTTGGAAGACTGAAAAAGTGGCAAAAATTGTTGTTTGTCTATTTAAACGTGAAAAAATTAGAAAAAAAAACTTTTTTATGGTATAGATTTTAATCCAAGGTATCAAAATCCGTGGCAAATCGAAAAGCACCAGGTGTCCAAAAAATCACAAAAAATCGGAAAGAACACGTATTTTGGATTTTTTTTGGAATTTTAGCAGCTTTAAACGTATTAACAATTCAACGGATTTGCTCTATTTTCTCCCATTCTATTTGTTATTTTCTGCAGAAAAAAATAAAAAAAGGATTGCCAGATATATACAAATTTATAATTATTCAAAGGCTCTACAGCATACTTTAATTTCTATAGTAAAACAGAAACTGACTGAAGAGATTAAAAAAAATTTTTGAGAGTGGGGTTGCCATATTTCTAAAATCGTACAAATACGTTTATTAAAAAAGCTATGCTTATTTAATATTACAATATGGGCATCAGTGGGAAGTTGTTCGAACAAGCTATAACACTAGTATGTCCATAAGGAGGGTTGCCTATCTATCAACTAAGGCTAATAAAAATTATTTACTTTATAATATTCAAAGAAATAAAAATGCCAATTTAATTGAAAAATTTTAAAAGGTGGCTTTTATGCCAAACAATTTTTTTTTTAATTAATTTAATTTTACTAAAATTGATAAATGGATTTTAAGAATTCTTTCAAAATTGAATCTGTTATTAGGGCCTATCACGTGGAGGTTACAGTACCTAATACAAATAATTTTTAAGCAAAAAACATAACCGACTTCGATTCTCATATAAAAATTTAGGAGTACCGTTAATTTCTCCATGACCCAGTGATCGGATCTAAACCAAATTAGTATGGGACCTCCCTTGAGGTACCACCTTTCCGATAGAAGAAAGATTAACGAAATCGGTGATCCAAAGTTATGCGGTAACATACATAAAAAAATATTCCGACGAATTGATAACCTTCTCCTTTTTTGGAGTCGGTTAAAAACACCCCTCTTTTTTAATTTGTTATTTATTTTAATTAATTAATTTATTTATTTCCTGATTTAATTTTTAATTTTAACTATTTTTTATTTGTTTTTTATAATTTGAATAACAGAAGAAAAAACCCAACGACTTAAAAAAACGAGAAGCTTTCATTTATTACAGAGCAATTTTAGTCATCGGCAATTAGATTATTTTTGTCAAAATATGCAAATTTTCAAGCTCTAAGAAGTCTAGCAATTGACATGTTTTATTGATTCCTGTGTAATCTTCATCATCGCTAAAATCTTGTGTAAATAGAAACAGTGACAGTTTTGTACAGTGGTTCAGATGAATATAGGTAATTTTTTTTTTGTCTCACGAAATGTCGCACTAAATTTAAATGGTTGTAAATAAAATAATGCAAAACCAACATGCATTTATTGTACAGTATAATAAAATATGCACAATAAATAAGGACAAACCAGGCATTTTTTGCAAAATAAACAAAACCATGGATTTTCTTCCAAATATGCAAAAGTATGCACTTGCGATATAATCACATTTTGAAGGAAATCGCAGGATTCGTAAAGATAACTTAATAATTATTAAGTTGTATAAATTATAATTTATATTTGAAGATGCCCAATAAAAACATTCATTTGCACGAGACTCCTAGCCCTATTTATTTGTGTGAAATACTATGACCAGTAAGGAATTTTAGCAGTTTTACTCATACGCCGTGCATCGTACATGCTTATATTCAAAGACGCGTTTACTTGAAAATTTAACAATAATTAGAAAAAGCGGAAAATATCTGCCGACTTTTATTAATGTAGATACCTTTGGCTATATGATAGTTCGTTATATATTTTTGTTTTTAATAGCGGTGGCTAGCAATGGCGATGATGGGAATAGTGTACTTTGCTTAAATATACAATCTTTATTAATTCAAACGTGTTTTAAAACAAAAAATAACTGTCAACATATTTTGTAACAGTACTTTTTCTAAGACTTTTCGATAATTCAAACAAATTTAAAAACTAGACCCGTAGTTTTAGAGTTTATAAATAAATTGACAAAATTTTTTCGTAATAAATGCTTACAAATACTTTTTAAGATTTTATGGAGTCTGAATTTGTTATGAACATAACAAAATATTTCAAATGTCATAATATTTTATATTTTTTTTCACGCACTTCAAGGTAGTTAGATTAAATAAGTTTATTATTTTAAACTTTTAAATAACATTGGTTTTTGACCACTTTTTCCGTATTCTGGCCCACTGTGTATCGTCAGAGCATTGGTGCAACAGCACAGTGTACGAAAAGGAACCTTTACTGATCATATGTCAAAATTAAAAAGTTCTACACATATTAAATTAGTTTCAAAGTTCATTAAAAACCTGTGTTTTAGAGAAATTCTTAGTTGAGGAACTCCAATTCTTGAGCATTTACATATATAACTACTCTGTAAAGAAAAAAAATGTTAGCTATGGTCTATCTACATTAAAGCAACGATATATACCTTCGCCAAATATTTCACGATCATTTGAGTCAATCCGATTCTTTTTTGTTGTTTTGAGAAAAAATGGAATCAACAGTTAATTCAGAATTAGATCCATTTCGCGTCGGTGTTCGCCTGTGTGCACAGATCTACAATTTCTATATCCGGTTTGTATCATGCATTTTTTTTACACTTAGCGACGGTGCCAAACTTCACTGAATATCTTTTTGTCCATGCTTGTAAAAGTCCATGAATCGAACTCCCTTCCAGGCGTTTTCATCGACGTCCGTGCACTTCCGCAATCGCATGGTCACCTTGCTTATGAACTTTACCGACGTCTTAGGGCCGGTTGTTCAATGTCTGGTTATCACTAGTTCCCGGTTAAACATCATTACCGACGTTTTCGACATCATGCATGCAACATGTGATCGATAAAGCAGTCGTTGTATTTAACCGGAGCTTCAACCTGCGATAATGTAAATAATCTTTTGCGATTACACCACTTTTTCCTTAAAAGTTTTTCTTACTATGCGATGATGTTATAAAATAGAGCTCAATATATTTAACATAAATTCTATTAAACAATAATTTTATAATCAGTCGCTTTCTTTGTAAAAAAGATAATGAAATCTATATAAAAAAATGCACACACATGCAGCCAAATGCATGTGGAAGTACATACATACATACATACATACATATGTACACTTGTGGTCAGTTGATTAAGTTAAGTGACATTTTGACCAGTTTTTGTTATTAACCGACTTCACAAAACGGAGGAAGGTTATCAATTCGTCGGAATTGTCGAGCACACTTTATAAGGGAGAAAATGCCCAACACCGTCAGCAAAAAAAAAAAAATGTTAAAAATCAACGCGTGTTGAAATTTACACTTTAATCTACTAAAATATAATGGGCTATAAAACTGCGTACCTTAAAATTTTCTACAAACTTTTAATAAAAAGTCAAAAATGTTTGGGTGTAATTTTTTAAGTTTGTCGAATTTTTATAATTATTATTATTATTATTTTTTGTAAGAAGTTTGAAATATTGATAAATGTGGTGCTGGTCATGTAATGTGCCAGACTTTTATACAAAAATTATAAACATTAAATAAACAAAAGAAAAATTACCAAAACTGGACAAAATGACATTTAACTTATTCAGTTGACCACAAGCGTATATGTACATATAAGTTTATACGAAAAGATAAGGATTTGTAAACACTTAAGTAGAAATAGGCCAGGTCACTATTATCGCAAGAATATTTAATTCGAATTTTATTTATAATGATTAGAAATGCAGTTAAGAAAAGTAATTTCTTAAAACATATAATAGATGTATGCCAATAATGAGAGCATGCATTTTCGATCTCCGAAGTGAATATAAAGTGAACAGCTCAGCTGTAATCCTCAGTGTAACTGTAGATACCGTGACGAGCAGCGAAATATCAAAAATGTCAAGGAGCTTAATCATTGTCATAGTCAGCGCATGCCTGCTGCTGCAAGTACGTTAAAAATGTCTACAGAACTAGGTTGTAGTGATATTAATAATTATTACACTTTAATTTATAGGCACAAGCCATTCCACGCATGCGACGTGAAGCAGGCGAGACAACAGTCGCACGGAAGCAAACAAATGTAGTGCCCGCAGACGCAGACTCAGATTCGTCCTCGTCAGAGGAGTCTCCACTGAAATTTAAGCCACGTCAGGTACTGATGACAACAACGCTCGTTGATTTAGTTGGCTTGGCTAAATATGTTACCGAACATGGTCGTCCACTTTTTAAGAAGGCGCTTGCTCAGTTGGAAGCGCTCCCCGAAAAGAGTCCAGCGTTACAGGCGAATATTACCCGCATCGCCGACTATCTTAATGCCAACTCGCATGAAGCGAATACAGCCGAAGCAGAGGGTATGTTGTCGCTATTCGATTCTATGATTACACTCACCAGTATATTGGAGGATGCTAATGAAATGTCACCCGAATTGGAGCAAACCAAAACCGTTCAAAAAGCATTCACCGATAATGGTGCGGATAAATTCGAGGAGGACTTGATGGCCGAATTGAAAGTGGTGTCGGGAAAATTCGAAAAGGCAATTGAAAAGTATTTTGAAACTTTGAATGAAGAGCAAAAGGCAAAGGAGACGAAACTGATCGATTGGTACACGAGATTTACGAATGAGAAGGATGACGAAAAGAAGGCAGAATATTATGCAAACTTTTTCGACACATTCAAGCCATAAGAGTGTTCAGCAGTTTTTAATCGTAACTTTCATTATATGTATTGGTTTATAAAATAGCATTGTTTACGAATGCCTATAGTTTTATATAAAAATTTTAAAATATAAATTTAAATTAAAAGAAAAATAGCACAGTATTTTACACCTTTACAACGTTTTGGGGGAAAACAAGATCGATGATCTTAGCTGAAGATCGCCATGAAGATCTACCTGGCTTAGAAGCTGATTGCTCGGCAATAATCGTAGGTGCTGCTTGATGTTCTCGAGAAGACTAAGGCAGGTGATGTCTAAGATCACTCTAAGATATGCAACAATGCAAATAAACGCAAGTCGGATTTGTGATGTGAGAGACACTGCGTTGCCGAGTACTGCCGTTCACTCCGGTGAAGAGTTGCTCGTCATAATTGACACCCCAACAAAATTCTTCAGCATATCGTTTATTTGTGTCCCGACGAAGTTTGAAACTTTGATTTATGCATATGATTTTGGTTATAGCTTGAACACTCTGCATGTGAAAAAGTAAAGTCGGAATTTGTATGCTCTCATTCCCTAGGATTGTGCTATACAAAAAAAATATACCCTTATTTTTTATTTTGAAATAAAAAAATATTTAGAGGCCGCTCAATGCGCCCAAAGTTTTCCATGTATTTTATATGGCGAAAAAACAACTTTTCGTAGAATAGGTATAGTAAAGTTAAAAATCCATATTTTTCTACCAGAAAACTCTGTTTATCTGCAGGAGATTCCCATTAATAATACCCAATTGTTTATTTAACCATTTTTTGATTGCAACTATAATTTATAGGTCTGCCAAAAACCCATAAAATCCCCGAAAAATGCAATGGGGCGACGAAAATCGTTAGTATTAAAAAATGGTTAAATAAACCATTGGATATTATTATTGAAAGTCTCCTGAAGAGAACCAGAGTTTTCCGATCGAAAAATATTGACTTTCAAGAATTCTATACCATTTCTACGAAAAAATTGATTTTTCCCATATAAAAATACATGGAAAACTTTGAGCGCGTTGAGCGACCTCTAAATATTTTTTGATTTCAAAATAAAAAAATAGGGGTACACTTTTTTCGATATAGAACAATCCTAGGGGGTGAGAGCATAACAATTCCGACTTTACTGTTTTTGGACCACCCTAATGTACGTACATAAAACTGTATGTATGAATGCTAAATATCCTATGGTGAAAAAAAATTAGGTACATATGTATTTATGTATAGAATTTGCTACAATTGATGGTTCCAGAGAAGAATGTGAATACAAGTAATAAATGAAAAAGAACAGTCGAATCTGGTATTTCCTCCTTAAGGGGTGGACAATACAGACCTCAATGGAACATAATATGCACCCGGTATACATTCTGGAGAAAGACGAGCATTTCGCACTTGCAAGAAATTCCACATTTCACGGTATAAATATCGTAAACTAAACACGCGGCTTTAAAATTGAGCATCGAGAAGCTCGCGAGTTTAACGAGGCTTTCGATACACGAGAATCTCGTAAAAAACCGATACTCGCGAGAAATTGCTTGTAGAGCAATTTCGGGAAAGCGAAAGCTCTAATACAAAGTGTATTCCAAATTTTTTTTATATAAAAACAGTTACCGAAATCTTCAACAAAAAAGTCAAAAAATCAAAGGTAAGTCCTACCTACTTCAAACTCGCACTTGTTATAATAAATTTGAATGGGCTACGAGGTTATTTTTTTATTTGCTGTATTTAATTGTTTATTAGAAAAATAGGTAAACCCTAATTTTTTCGTTAAAAATTCTTATTTTTGCTAGAGATAATTTAAAAATGAAAATAGAGCGCTCAGATTTTGTTAAAATTATTGTTTTGTGACATTCATATGGGATCGAAAGAAAAAAAAAACATTTGTTTTATTTTACACAGCCTAATGCTCGATACAAATATATTAAGGTAGTTTTAATTCCAATATTTTTGATTAAAATCACGATTATTAACATCTATCCTATTTCTGAACCATATATGTATACGGCCCTGCCACATTTTTAAATAAGAGTACACGACACCACTTTTCTGTAGAAAATATACATACATACATATATTTACTAAGAAGTAATTTCTCCCATTTCCTTTTTGACTCTGTGTATTTTTTTTTTAGTTTTTAAATTGTTATTCAAGCGGCTAACTCTAAAAAATGCTCTTCACAAACGAAAATTTTTAAATAAAATTTTTGCAATTTTTGCATTTTTGGCACGCTGTGAGACGTCATGATCAGCATTTATGTAACGAAAATTATGAGTGAAACTACCTTCATATTTTTGAATCATGGTCTAATATACTATGTATATATAATTTATTAGAGCCATAAACTTTGTAGATACGTGTATTTGAAAAAAAAAAAATAATAATTGATAAGAATACAAGTAATTAATTCATGTATAAGCAGGTCCTAAACGTAGTGTCATACAAATAAATATAGCTTCTCGCTTAATTATTGAACCCACCGTTTTTATATTCTAGATTGATTTTATTTTATATTATTTTGCTTTGTTTAATTTGTTCCAGACTCTCTACCCAATTGATTTGAATATAAATACTTTGCGATTGCATGTGAAGCATTTAGTGCTTATCAAAACGTATAAGAACAATCTTTAATAAACAATACAGGAGACTTTGCAAAAATACAGCGCAAAAATGTTAAAGAATTTTTCGCTTTTGGCTCTCGCCACACTTTTGTTAGTACAGGTTTGTAAGCTAAAATTAAACTGTTTTCGCGTACTAATAAAACGATACATCTTCTCTAGTTCACCACCTGCCTTCCAATGCCATCCTCGTCTGAGTCAGAGGAGACAAATACCATTCCTCAGCGCACGACAGCGCAAACGACAACACCGGCGCCACCAGGTCATACTGCCGCACAAAAGAGACTCGAGGCCCTTGTCTATAAAAGCTACTCGAATTTATTGAATTTCCAGCTACAGAGATCTAACCAGATAGCCAAGGATGTGCTAGCCGATCCATCTATGAACAACATCGTTAGCGATGCAATGGAAAACGAAAAACGTCAACTTGAGAAATTTGTTAAGGATTCGAAGGAATCGCTACTGGCAGCTTTACCCGCCAATAAAAATGATCAACAAAATCGTTTCTTCTTTGCTATTGGCAAGGGCTTTGTCATTGAGGAGTTTGAAGGTTTTGCGCGTAGACGTGCTTCTAAAACCGAGGAACTAACGCCAGAGCAGCAGGTTTCATGGAATGCTTTGGAGAAACATGGTTTTCAGGAGTATAAAAACGATTTGGAAAAACGAGCCGATGAATTCTCTGGTTACTTGGTTGACGAATTTGGTAACTTTATAAAAACGCTGACACCTGCGGAAAAGGAAAAAGAGAAGGATATGGTGGAAGTGTGGAATATGTATACGAACAACGTACTTGGTTTGAGCAAAACTGAATTCGGCCAACGATTGTTCGGATTACTTTTCCAATATGAAACGAAATACTAAGATCCATGCATGGTTGGAAACTTAAAACGGTATATGTATTTATGAACGAAAACAAATTTTACTTCTTACTTTGTCACTTGCTATGAAATGAGTTGGAAAATTGTGATCCTCAAATTAAAGGTTAAGTTAATTTTTATTGAAATGTTTTTGAATATATAAATAAATGTATGTAATTAATAAAATGAGAAATATATGCATTGTAAGGCGAATGATGTTAATAAGTAGGACGGCGCACAATGGAACAACAACGGCCAAAAATAATATAGACGGGCTAGCGAATTCTGAAAAAGCAATTACGCTTTGCAAAGCAAAGCATCCAACTAATCCAAATCAAAAGGCATTTTTGTTTAAACTGCATACTAACAGTGATGGGACGAGGTTAAATTAGATACAACATACAGTATCTACTCATTGAATTATGACCGATAGATTTGTTTATTAAATATCTGACTTTAATTTAAGATTTTGGTTATTTGGTTTGAAATTTTGCTGAACTTTTTAGGCAGTTTTGTAGCCCATTCTATTTTACAATAACAAAAAGCAAGTTTAAATTAACTGGGACTTATCGTTGATTTTTGGCAATTTTTTTTTTTTGTTATCGATGTCAGCCTTTTTCTCCCATAAGAAGCATTTATGACGATCTTTTATATGGAGAAAATGAGCAACTCCTTCAACGAAAAAAATACCCAAAAATCAATGGTAATTTCGTAGCTACTTTAAACTTGCACTTTGTTATACGAAAATTGAATGCACTACAAAACTGCATACTCAAAATATTTCTACGAAATCGAATTAAAAACCTCGACATTTTTACGAAAGTTTGTTGATTTCTTTTTAAATTTTGCACAACGATTGAAATTTGGATTTACGTCTATTTTGTTAAAAAATATACCATATTAATTAATTAATTATTATTAAATAAAAAAATTCGCTTAATCCGGGATGACTCCGGAAGCAATATCAAAGGAGCTTGCGACTAATAACACTTTTGATCTCCTTATATGGAATGAACTGTTCGCTTTTGTACGAGAGTGTCCTATAAAGAGACTAATTATTCTCCTTTATAGCCGAACGGGTATAAAAGCGACTGGTGACTTTTAAAAAATAAAAATAAAACTCCCCCCCTGGCTGCGATTCCAACCGGGGTTCTAAGTTTTGTTAAGCGAATACTCTCTCTCTGTGCCAACGGCGCCCATGAAATTTCATGGGGGGGTATTCACGATCCAGTGCATACTGTCTAGCCTGGTGCATAGATAGCATAAAAAGCATGATTGTCTAATGTTGTTGCTGATTGACCAAATGAAACAACAACAATCACGCTATTTATGCTATCTATGCATCATGCTAGACAGTATGCACCGGATCGTGAATACCCCTATTGACTAAGCGCGTAAATGTTATTAAATCGTTAATAATACCCGTTAGAGATGGGTCGAAGACTAATTGATCTACAATTATACCCGTAGGGATGAGTTGAAACTAATTGATCTCCAATAAATCCCGTATGAGACTAGTTGCGACTAATTAATGCCCAATTGTACCCGATTGAGAGTAAACTCGGTATACTCTCTTTAGAGATTATTTAATCGCACACTTTTTTGCAGGGTTATGATCAGCGTTGCCGTTTTGGTCCAATTGGACCAAAATTGGTAGGCTCATTATCCTTTGGTAGTTTGGTTGGTAGGATGAAGCTTTTGGTAGGCAAAAGTGAAATTGCAACCAAATTGAGCAATAAAATTTGGTTGCTTAAGATTGCATACTGCCAGTGCTATCTACTATTTATAGTAACTCTAAAAATATCTATGAATGGTAACTCTGTATTCATAGCAAGCAAAGGAAATAATGACAAGAGAAAGAGTGAAAGAAAGATGTTAAACGTCAAAAACTTGGCATTTGCGCGCCTTCCTTCAATTGAATTTAACAAACAAGCGAAAAGATTAGTGATGGACAAGTAAGTTAATTTTGCTTACTTTACTTACTTTACTTTTTAATCATTGTTTATTTGCAGGTATATCTATAAAGCTTCTAAGTGTGGACAATAATAACGACGACTTGTTCAGGTAAAAAATTTCGACTAAGTAGGCATGTACATATGTGTCAATTAACAAATACTGAAAATTCTCGTGGTGATGAAAACTCGCCTGCGGCCAAAAACCAAACTTAGAAATGAACTAACCATCAGTACAATAAATAGTATTATGCACTGTAAAGAACTAGTACAAAAGGCTGATGCACATTACATGTGGTCAGCAAAAAGAGATCTTAAAGATGTACGATTTTTTTACAAACTTTTTGTTTTTGATATAATATAGGATATAAAAACTTTTTGTTGTTAAACGAATAAAATGCTTGAAATTGTATTGTCGAAGAAAAAAAAAAACGTTTGAAATGAATTGAATTGATCTCAAAAATATATATACTCGGTACGTTTTTTTACAAACGTTTTGTGTACAATATTTTTGATACTTAAGTTGTTCACACTTGCTTGGTTATCAGGTTATCTGGTTAAAAATTATTATTCTGTAGTGTATTTTATTGTTGTAAACTGAATAAAAAATATAACCACATAACCAGATAACCTGATAACCAAGCAAGTGTGAACAACCTAACTTTTATTTAAACGCATAAAATGTCTGAATTTGTTGTTTCAAACATCAAAATGTTTGATATGAATTGAATTAATATCAAAACTATATACAATGCTTATAACTGTTTTTTATACGATACGTTAATTAATTTATTTAAACGCCCGAATTTATTTTGTGTAAACTTCAAGTATTGCATGAATGGATAACCAACTGTAGCACAGTAAACCATATTATTTGGTATTTTAATTTATGCCTACTGTTAATCTGCAAAACCTGTAAATTTAATAAAATCTCGTTTTATTGATTAAAAATTTTTTGGTAGTTGGCAAACTGATTTAGTAGGCTTTTTGGTAACTTAAAATATTCTCAAGTGGCAACGCTGGTTATGATAAGCATCATATGTAGTTCGAATCGAACTTTCTGATATTACTTTTTGTGTATTTACGCGGTGAACGTAGAAAATTTCACTTTATGACTTGAAAAATGTACTAAAAATTAAAAACGTTTCCATAACCCTGCTTATTAATTTTTATTATAAGAGCGTATTTTACGAAAATTAAATTAATTAAAGTAATGAAATATAGAAGAATGCCCACTTCTGCTAAAATGCGCACGAATTAGCCATAAATTAATAATTAATTAATATTAACGCCATATATTAATTTTATATGAGGGGGATAACAGCAATATGCGTAGAAAAAACGCTTGCATTGTCAAGTTAGTTACCGACATCGCTAAGGAATTGGATTTTGACATTGTCCTTTCTCGGAAAGCGAATAGACAAAATTTTCGGGCTAATTATCGTGTATCTAAAACCGAAGATATTATAGAAAGGCAACAATATCTATACCGCTATTGGATAATATTTTGCTCGATCTGCGAGAAAGAATGCCGCAAGAGACATTCAACATTTTTGATTTGAACTTATTACTCCCATCCAATTGGGGAATATAATACGACAGATGAAAAGATAATGCTTTTTCTTAGAAAAAAACGCTATCAATTTGGAAGGAGAGTATATAATGTGGTCAGAACGATAGACAAATAAGGTAAGCGAAAAGCCATTCCCAAAATCAGCAGCAGAAGTTCTCGGTAAATGCGACAAATATGTTTTTCCATTGATTAAAAAACTTCTCCGCATTCTTACTACATTCCGCACGAACGACTCATCCAATCGACTCTGAATCATGCTAAACAAGAAACTTATCACCGATCGGATATAAATGAGAAGCGGGAGTCGTTCTCCCAATCTCTTCGTACCGCTACGTTTTGCAGAAGGCGTGAGTCCAAATTTATTGAGATGCTAATAGACAGGAATGCGGCGTGAAAATTTGATCAGACACAGGTCTCACGCCGACTTTTTCTTGTAAACTTTATGGATGAGGGGAAGCTTTCCCCTTGCTTCTACCTGGCTATGCCATCGACTAAGTTATCGAATTATCGATATGATGCGGCATAGAAAACACTTGACATAAGGACATTCATAACGATCTCTGGACATAAGTTAATTTTTGGAGAGGAGTAGCTTGCCGATCTCATCCCTTGGAATCCGACTGGGACTGAAGTGACCGGTATATAACACTTTCCCTAAGCTTGGCTACGTAAAGAGCGCCTTCTTAACATATGTATATATATGTATACCCTCCAGTACTGCTGGAGTCAATCGCTACTTTTGAACCGCTACTGCAACGACTCCTAGGTAAGTGGCTACTCTATTAACCCGTGGTAGTGCACATGGTAGTGCAGGGTCGAACCGGTCGGAAGCAGAATAGCGAAATACTACGACAGAGGGCGAACATAAATCACGCACGTGACTACTTTAGTAACTCCCGGTAGTACAGAGAGAGCCGATGGTGACTACCGCCTAGGGCATTGCCTTGTAAAATTAATAGATGAAATATACTGCAAGTAGTCGGTTGGTAATTGACGGAGTTTATCAGGTAGCTACCGATTCAGCAGTCCTGTAGTTGCTCCCCCGTATTGCAGGGTATGTACATAAAGTTTGTTTTCGTTTGGAGCACAAAACCGACTTCAATTCTCATATAAAGATTTAGGAGTACCGTTAATTTCTTCATGATCCAATGATCGGATTTAAACCAAATTAGTATGGTAACACCTTTCCTTTAAAAAATATAAAAATCGGTTAACGTGGTCCAAATTTATGCAGTAACATATAAAAAAAAAAAAAAAAATATTCCCACGAATTGATAACCTTTCTGCTTTTTGTGAAGTTGGTTAATAATTGTAAACACATTTTGCTTTTTAATTTTGTAGATAATATTTAATTTTAATTTCTGACCTTAAAAAACATTTGATTTATTATTAATCATGTCGCATACTCACATACGTATATATAGATAAAGTGCATATGTGTGGATGCATATAAAACGTAAACAATATTAGCTTAGCTCAGTTCAGTTCACGGTGTCGTAGAGTGTTAAATAAATCTGCACAACAAAATGAAACGACTGCTGTGGCTCGCCTTAACCACCATATTTCTAACAAAGGTTAGTATCTATTAAATTTATACGAGAACGTCATAAAAAGTAGTATTATTAAACGTCAACATTGATTTCCCACACAGCTTGCGCTTGCCGTGCCAACTCCTACAACTTTGAATTTTTCCGCCTCCACTGAATCCAATGAAATCGAGCGTAGTACAGCGACTCCTACGAATTCCACACAAACAGCAGTTACAAAATCTGGACATACCAATAACAGAAAAGGCATAGTAATCATGGTATTCAAAAAATACACTAATCTACTAACTTTCCAACTGGAACGCAGCCATCAAATAGCTAAAGATTTGCTCAGTGATCCTACAATTGTGGGCGTGAATAATGAGGAGATGCAAAAAGCAACCAATATGCTGCTTGATTATGTAGCGCAATCGGACATTTCCGAATTGGCGAAGTTGCCGCCAGCAGAAATTCCAAATAGATATTATTTAGCTATTGGAACTATGTTCGTGATTGGAAAATTTGACGCTTTCGTACGACAACTAAATACTACAAGCGAACAAGATAGAACACCCACTGCACGATTGCTTTGGACTGCATTGCAACGACATGGCTATCAAGAGTTCCAAGTGGAGGTTGAAAAACGTTATATAGAATTATTAGAGACAATTGTGGATGACGTTGGAGAGTATGTGACATCACTTTCACCTGCTAACCGAGAGAAAGATAAGCAATTGGTGCAAGCATACGATATGTACGTTAAACATCCGGAGCGCTACACGAAAATTGAATTCGGCGGAAGTCTTTTCGATGTTTTCTTTAAAGAAGCAGCGAAAGCGTATGAATAGCAATAAAAACAAAATGCTTGACTTGCATTTAGCGGAACTTTAGAGATTTTGACACATACATAACAATAAATATTTTTATACCCGAGCGCACTTGTGCACAAGGGTATATTAATTTTGTTCACATAACGGTTGTTTGTAACAGCCAAAACGAATCGAGATAGATATAGACAAATGTATACATAAATGATCAGGATGAAAAAAGAAATCGATTAAGCCATGTCTGTCTGTCCGTCCGTCTGTCCGTCTGTCCGTCTGTCCGTGTACACGATAACTCGAGCAAAAATTGAGATATCTCAACGAAATTTGGTATGTAGGTTTCCCTTAATCCAAGGTAGGTTGGTATTGAAAATGGGCGAAATCGGACTTTAACCACGCCCACTTCCCATATAACGGTAATTTCCAGAAATACGAAAACTGCGATATTTTAGTAACTACTGAAGATAATTCACTCAAAATTGATATTTACAATAATTTTTAGACGAAAAATAAGAATATTATAAAGTTTTGGAAAATGGGCGTAGCCACGCCCACTTATGGTTACATGTGTATATCTTGGTAACCGCTGCACCAATTTCTTCCAAACTTGGCACAGTTGTTGGCCTTCGCATAACATACCAAATGGCCGAAAATTTTTAAAATCGCTCAATAACCACGCCTACTTCCCATATAACGGTAATTTTCAGAAATACGAAAACTGCAATATTTTAGTAACTACTGGAGATTATTCACTCAAAATTGATATTTATAATAAGTTTTAGACAAAAAATAAGAATATTATAAATTTTTGGAAAATGGGCGTAGCCACGCCCACTTATGGTTACATGTGTATATCTTGGTAACCGCTACACCAATTTCTTCCAAACTTGGCACAGTTGTTGGCCTTGGTACAGCATAAAAAACCGCCGAAACTTTATAAAATCGGACAATAACCACGCCCACATCCCATATAACGGTAATTTAGAGAAATACAAAATCTTCGATAAATCATTAAATATTGAAGCTAATTTTTTCAAAATTGATGCTTGCAACAATTCTTTACCAAGAAATACGTTTATGGTAAAATTTTGGAAAATGGGAGTGGCACCGCCCACTTATGATCACATATAAGTATACCGGTAACCGTTCTACCAATTTGTACCAAACTCGGTATGGTTATTGTACTTGCCACGTGTAAGCAAAACGTTGAAAATTATTGAAATCGGACTAATATAACGGCCGATTCTCATATAACGATTCTCATATAACGGTAAATTTAAGAAATGCTTGAAACTTCAATATTTCGAAATTGAAGGACGCTAATTTACTCAAAATTGTTACAACTCGGCTTACCATCTAGCGGAAGGTTTCGGAAGGGTGAAAAAACATATATTTAATACTTGCGCCGGGTATTTAATGTTCGCCTCCGCCCGAACTTAGCCTTTCTTACTTGTTACTTTTGTTCTACTATGTTTTCATTATTTTTGAGAATACAGTATCTTATTTTGACGAATAACTAAGTCAAAAAACGATCTGTTTAATTAAGCGAGGAAAGGAATTATCGCATACCTTTATTCTCAGTGCATATACATACGTATGTATGTACATTTAGGACGAGGTGTCGAAGGCACTGTCCGCACTTGGGATGAACAACTGGCGCAAATCCGCCTAGGAGGGAGGTAACTAGCGAAGCTTTTTGGTTTCGGCTCAAACCGACAAATGGTTGTAATGCCAATTAAGAAGACGAAGAAGATACATACATACTTGTACGTATGTTAGGGCGGGCCAATTTATATGGAAGTTTTTTTCGACTATGCGCGTATAGCACAGAAGGAATCTACGCGTAATTTTAAGCAAATTTGCCGAGGAAGCCATGGGTCGAAAATCGATTTGGAGTTTGCCAAATTGCGAAAATAGATTGCCTAGCACTTTCAGGCAGTGTCGCAAGGAAGTGTTTAAATTTTCTGTACAAAGAATCCATTTTTGCACTCATCTTTTTCTTATTCCCATTTTCTTCGAAACCTATTTTCGCAATTTGGTAAACTCCTAACTGATTTAAGACCCATTGTTTCTTTGGCAAATTTGCTTAGAATTACACGTTGAATCCTCGTGTGCTATACGCGCATAGTCAAAAAGTATGTAAATTTTTTTACTATAGTTTCAGAACCTACGTTTAGCTGACATGCACAAAGTAGCAACGAAAACAAAAGAATCTATAATAAACATAAATAGCACACCTCCATTGGAGAAAATTTGATAGACTTAATCATTTTTGATTAATTTAATTCAAATGTTGTTGTCATATATAAACACTTGACCCTCTTAGTGCAAATGTATGTATTAGGGATGTTGCGAATGTGGAATTTTAGACATCCGCGGATGCGAATGCGGATGCGAATGCGGATGCGGATGTCAAGTATTTCTAAGAAACAATTAGGTAAGTAAATTAAGTTATTTAGGTAAATAAAAAATGGAAAAGTTAGTAATTTTTAATAATGTCTATTTTATTTAGTACTTGAATTAAAAAATTGGAACATTTATATTTAATATAAATAAATTTTTTCGTGTGTTTTAAACATTTTTGGTTATTGTCGCACGGTTTTATTTTCCAGGAATAAAAATTATGAACGAAATTCTGTTTTCAAAGTCTGAGCTGCCAACCAAATCGGATCAGAATATTGATATTTTTTAAAAAAACCAAACAAATTTTTTTTTATAAGCATTTAAATTATTGGGATCATGGATGTTGAGGGTTTCAGATAGTTTCGTAATTCTTACCTAATTAGAGGTCAGACCTATAGATTTTTAATTATTTGAGCATCGATTATTTTTATAGCCAGACGTTGAACATTTCCGCTGGAAATACCCATTGTGGAGCTTACTCTTTGACTTTAAATAGCATAGAAGGGATACGTAGGGGAACAGTTTACCATAGAAGTTTTTAGCCAAGGAACCAATGTATATCCCTATGGAAAAAATATTGCCCAACAAGTTAACAAAATTAATGTTTTTGAAATTTTTCGCTAAACATAAATTCCCCATTTGAAATGATTGAAACGAATATATTGTCACTTGAAATGCAAAAAGTCTTGACTAATAATTCGCAAAAGCTCCGCGTTGATTATTGCGAATGCGAAAGCGAATATTAAAATTAATGCGAAAGCTCCGCGGTTACGAATGCGAATATTCGCAACAACCATGGTATGTATATGCATATATAATTTTCTAGGCAAAAATTAGCTGGAATATCAATTAAAGCATTTGCGCAAATAAGTATGTTATTATTAACTTTTGCATACTTGTATGTCTATACTCTTGTATATTTGAAATTTATATGCACCCACGGAATATGTTTTGTAATCCACATCTATAAATGCACTGGCAACGACTATCAATTTGCTTAGTACGTTTTTCGACTTGCACAATAGCGATTTCGAAATAAGAAACTCTTTACAGAGAAGATAAGATGCCGAAGCCGATTCTTGTGCTGTTAGGTGCAATACTTATTCAGGTTTGATTAAATTGTAAACATGGCTGTATTATCTTTTTACTAATTCATATTACAATATTTTGCAGATTGCATTCGGTTTGCCTAGTACACTTCCCAAAGGTTCCGATGAGAATCTCTACAAGGAACATAATGTGATTCCCAAGGAAAAGGACTCAGTTACCGAAAAAAGTGCAGCATCTATTGAGCGAAAAAGACTCTCCGCAATGATCAAAGAAGGGGATGCCAAACATTTTAAATTCCTGTTGGAATGTAGTAATAAAATTGCCAAGGATTTGCTAGCAGACGCCCGAATCAATGGTGCGGACACCGAAGATATGCAAGAGAAGAGGGCCATGCTTGAGCAATATGTAAAGGATTCTGATGAAGCTCTAAGTTCAAATTCTAGCAAATGTAAAACGCGCGTTCTTAAAGATTTTTTTACCTTTACAAATCATTATACATCGGATAAGGAAAATCATACAAGTGAAAATGATATAATCATTCGAGAGGCTTTGAAGGCACACGGTTATGACCAATTGGAAGCGGAGGAATATAAGCTACTAGATGAAATTGGTAGCCATTATGCAGATGAATTCGAAAAGTATCTGATGTCTCTTTCACCAGCTGAGCGGGAAAATGAGGAAGATTTGATGAATGTATATGAAACGAGTATGTTGAATAAGGGCTTAATGAGTAGATCCAATTATGGATTCCGATATAAGCTGCTATTTTCAGAAAGTGAGGACGTATATATAAAATTATAACAATATTAAAAAACTGACTGTGTGTTTCATAACAGTTATTAGATGAAAACTATTTTTTATTTCGCCGATAAAGTTATTACTTATAATCCAACGTTTATTTTTCGTTGTCTGATAAACGTATTAAGAAAAGAACATTGACGAAAATAGAGATGGAGATGGAGAAGGAGAAAAAGATAATGATGATGAAAATAAAAGAGGAGGAGTGAAATAACTGTTATTAGGCAATGTAATAATAAAAGTTGGGTAATAACTGTTATCAAGCAACGTAAAAAAAATAAATGTTGGGAAATAACTCTTATTGGCGACGGAAAACATATTTCTCCTGCATAACAGTTATCAGGCAACGTAAACACTGAACGTTGGGTTATAACTCTCATTGGTGAGATAAAAAATATTTCTCATTTGGTAAATGTTATGGAAGAACGATTTTCCAATAAAACTTATATATAGCATGTGGATACAATATTTAAATTTGTCAATAAAAAAAATATATTCCAATGCTCGCTGGTGTAATTATTTTTATAAAATGTTTTTCTGTTACTAAATAGCTTTATATAAAGATTGTTGCTCAAAATAAATATCAATTAAAGACAAAAGAATGAAATAAGTTCCGCAACAAATACACATTTAAATTCCAAATTTCATGCCATTAACTTCATAACGCTTTCAGTAATTGAGCCGGAAACATCACCATGTGTGAGCCATCTGCGCATTGCACGAAGTTAGGGTGCAGAGCTATCAGGTTCCTCACAACAACAAAAAAAAAACGCCAACGGAAATATTTATTTGAAAAGATGGCTATAGTGTACGGGGACCTTGGCCCTTTATTTTCCCATACCAAACGTTGAAGCCGAGAATTCACACATGGCAGATGGTCCCAGGTCAGGGCGACCATATACTGCCGTTACCACTGCTTTTTGGGATTGTGAAGGTATTCTGTCCATCACCTATCTTCCTAAAAAACGACAATCAACGGTAGGATGCCACATTGTTGACAAAAAGGCGTCAAGTGGCTGACTATAAACGGAGAGGCCAAAGGAGTCCTGTTTTGCAAGAAGAGGAAAAAAACCCGGTTCTCAATTTTGAAATTAGGGAAAAACCGGACGTACCGGTTTTATTTTACACAGCGAAAATGCTTAAGTTGGTATGAAGTCATGACCGACTCTTTTCGGGTTTGCGAGCCGTAGCCGAGTGCTTAGATGTTCCTACTGCCACTCGGGAGATACGTGCTTCAATTTCTGGTCCCATTAACATCAAACAAGTTTTTTTTTCAAATAGCGGTCACCCCTGGTAGACAATGGCAAACATCCAAGTGTACTTCTGCCACAAAAAAGCTTCTTCGGAGGTGGAGTAAAAGTTTAGATCTCTCCATTTGAGTCATAACATCAAGAAGCAGAACACGAATTGGAGGAGAAACTCGGGAGAACACATAGAACCAAACATTCATTTATTGGAATCCAATGTGATATACTAATGTTCATCCCTAAATAATTTCGAAAAACTCAAAACTGTTATTGAGATGTCAAGAATTGTATGAAATGAAAATCCGCTTTATTCGATATTCGCAAAATCAATGTCTAAAAAAATATAGTTTCTCCGGTTATCATATTCTTTATGACACTCAAAAAAGTTAAACTAAAGAAAATTTAAGGGACAACAAAAGGTTAAGAGGCCTACAAAAAAAGGGCTCCACACTTCTCCAACCGGAGCACTATATTTCCGTATTATATATATGTTACTGGCCAAACCCGATCTTACGGCTAAACTAGTTTTGCCTAGGCCAAACTAGTTCTACCAACATGCTATAGGATATACCGGTTTAGCCTAGGATAACCTGGTCTTTCCGAAGCCGGTTTGAACGAACCGGTTAAGTCTAGGCTGAACTAGATGATATTGATAATAATGTACTTTCCAGAATATGTACATTTCTCTGATTGGAAAAATTTATATTGGGATCGATAGGGGTCTTAGTCCTGATCATAACCATAATAGACATCACTGGGGCGGACTTTAAATGTCCTTATCCGTTCAAAAGCTTCATGCAATCTACATACATACATATATGTATACAGTTTAGCAAGCACCATTTCCAAACTATTTGACAACAATCGGTTTTCAGGTGTTTTCGGCAACGCTAATTTACAGATCTATAGTCATATTAATGAAAATCGGAAAAATCAACCAACACCAAATTCAAGATGGCGAACAAAGTGCGTATAGTGTTTTTTTTTGTAAACTTTATACAAGCTATTTTCGGCAGTTTTGATTTTTTTTTTTAATTCTGAAATTCTGGTTTTCGAGATGTAGTTGAGATTTAAATAATGTCATTGGTGCTACGAAAAAAAGAAAATATGTACAAGCCAACGCGTATTCATTTCAGCCATTTATTAAGCAAATTTTTTAATACGTAACTTTTTTTACGTCATATTTTACCAATAAGTATTTTAAGAATAACTAAGTCACACCATAAACTCATCTGATATTTTCCTTTAATTCAAAAATTCGTTTCAGCGTTAATTAACACTTTATGCTTTCATTTTAACCCAAACAAATCAGCCACGTCAACACTTTTTTTGTGGATTCATTGGTGTCTCAAATATTTAAAACTCCTCTGATGAGTCATCATAAACATTCAGCAATTCTTCAAACAACTTCATTATTAGATCAGCTTCACTCTTAGAATCGCCATCAGATGACGTGTCCGCGAATTCATCAACAAAATTCTGAAGTAAATTGATGCTCCCAAACAGTGAGTCTGCAATTGAGGAAAATTGGGTTAAAACATTATTTCCCGAGGTGAGAACCTCCTTAAAAGAGTCGCTTAATTGTGGATAGTGCATTGCAAAAGTGTTGAAGAAATGCTCGGGATTAAAATTAAATGCATTTCCTAACGGAGCTGAGGACACCTGTTGAGAGTAGAACTAATTATTAGGATGAGTAAAGCGTTTGGGAAATATACTTTTCTAACCTGCAAACTCGGGCAAACAATCAAATATAAAACTATCCAGGTTTTAAACATTTTCTATGGTTTCCGGCTAAACTTTTAAGTGAAACTGATGGTGCGACTCGGAACCTCTTGGTTTTATAGATATTTCATGCTGGTTAAAAGTTGAATTCGTTTACATAAATCGTTTCTATACGCTGCAGTTAACAATTGTTCACGGATGTTTGTAAAGACCACCGCACAATGGGCCTGCGGGGGCAAAAAATAATGAAAACGGACTAGCGAATTCTTAACAATCAATAGAAAAGTATCCAACTAACCCACCCAAATCAAGAACAGTTTTTGATAAAAATGCATATTTGCAGTGATGGGTATGTATGTATGTACATATGTACAACGTACAAAATAAATGTGCAAGAAAAAATGTTAATTTTGCCGCGTGGAATTTAAATTAATTTTTCTACTAGTGCTGATATGTAATAGGACCATCTGATTGAGGACCAGTTTTCCTAATATGTAAGTATATCTGTCGTCAATCATGGCTTTATTACACATTTATCTACTGAATTTTATTAGACAATTTTACTTGAAAGTATACATTAAAATTTTTGGAGTGCTAACTTTATAAACGAATATTAAAAAATTTTCATCAGAATATAACTTTAACATTTGCGTCTATTTTTTACTGCCGGTTTCACGAAAGCAATTAAAATGAAAAATAATTTTTGTTCTGTCAATTTCCATATGAAATTCAAATAAAAAAAAAAAATGATTTTTCACTTAAATTATTTTCGTTAAACTGGCTATTAGACTTGGTGGGCGATAATATTAACCCAGTTTTACGTTATTTCAGATTTATGTTTTTCTGTTTGAAACTAGATATGTATACTCTAACTGTCACTAAAATCGGATAACACTTACTATTTCCGCTCACAAGAGCTGAGGCTTGGCAGTGTGTCGACTTTTACCATTTTTCACAATTCTTTTCTGCTACTACTACTACTACTACACATTTTCTACTACTTTTGTCCCCAGCTTATATGGGGACGTCCCACTGTGCACCGTATCTGTGTGAATTGCATAACCACGTGAAAAAAGGTGCATAACCATGTGGAAAAAATTAATTTGCAGCTCTGTTGATATCCGAGCATGGTAAATTGAATGGGTGGGGGCGTGAAAAACTGATTAAATAGCTACCTTTGAAATGATGCAATCGGTGCCAAGTAATCATTTCAAAATTTATCGATATCGATATTGATAAATATTTATTTAGATAACTTTATTGCTGAACATATATAAATAACAATACCGACGAATCTATCGATAAATATGATTATGTTTATCGATGACAATATTGAAAAGCATGAGTTTAAAAAGAAGTATCGAAGATTGGCCAGTCCGACTTATGGCGTGCGTGAAACCCAAATGCGTACATTTCGAATGAAAATTTCCTTTTTGTATATAATATTAGCGGATACCCGCGACTTTGTCAGCGCAGCTTTATACATACTTTTGCATATACTTGAAGATTTGTGAAGCAAAAGGGACAGATTTGATGAAATTAAAAATGAAGTCCCGCTGTCAGAGTTAAGAAGAAGTGGGTTCATGAAGTTTAAGTTTATATTTAAAAATTTTCTTTTTAAACAATGTTTAAGGTCTTTCCGTCTGGAGATAAAATGTACAAATTGTCAGGTTAGTAGCGCGAGAGCAAGTGATATACAGCCTTACGGATCTGTCCTTGTGACCTTTCTTCTTAAATAGGAAAGGAAAACTACTTATTGGAAATAATTGGTATTAGCGGCATCCAAACTTTTTCACCTGCATCATAAGCCGTTATAATTTCTGCTGCAATTCGATTTTTTCAGTTTTACAACCGTAAGTCTAGTTCCATTGCATAGCTTCGGAGGGGATAAATATCTAAGCAGCATAATCGGCACGCAAACTTTAAGTACGATTTGGTGTGCTGGAAGGCCATTGCAGTGAGTGAATTAAGAAACTCTAATGGATAATTTGTAGCTTCAGCCTGAATGATTACCTTGTTTATTCGCAGATAGTAAGTTTTTATTATTTTCGGGCATTTAAATCGCTATTTCTCATATCCAAGAGCTATGTTGCTGCAATATTTGACCAACGTTTCCATAATCTGAACGAAATTTATATCTAGGGTGTCGAATTTAGAACTAGTTTGAAACTATCGAAAAAGGGCCGCAACGAGGGGGGGGGGGGGGGGGGGGCTTGTTTACTTTATATATGTAAATACATATGTGTTTGGCGGCTTTTTCGTTCAAATACTCTTCCAATTATAGCTTGCGTTCAAACAGACAGACGGACGGATGTACGGACATGGCTCAGTTCGACGTTCTGATCATTAAAGTATACATATTCATGGATCTATCTATTCTTCTTCTGGGCCTTACAAATATCGGACCAAAGTATATCTAATACATACCATGTTCGTGAAAGCTATGTATATGTACAAATAATCACTTGGAAAAAATGCACGAAAAAAACTAATCAGATGCTCTGCTGCTGCTGTCTGTTTAATATGCCTTGCTTCTTATATATCAAGCGCAATATTTAGTTACATTTAATTAAAACATACATACGTAAGTACATATGTTTCTAAAGCAGAAATATCTAGCAAAATATATAAACAATTAACCGTACATTACAAAACATGTGGATTTATTGATTATAATTACTTTGTAAGCAGTTATGCCGTCAACTTGCGCATTTGCCACCGATTTGTATGAACATACATACTTACAAACATATTTACATACACTATATCTAGTAAAGCTAAATACTCGCAATTATTTGAAAAATGTCGAAAATTCCTCCAACACTTCGAACTTCTTTTCTATATCATCTTCCTTCTTGAAACGTTGATACCAGTTGATTAATGGAGCATCGTTTTCCTTCTCTTTCTCACCCAACGATGTCTCAAAATTTTCGAATAACTCCATAAAGCGATTTAAAGTTACTTGCAATGTAACATTAATGCGCTTATCCATATCGTCAAAACCGATTTTCTCGAATAACTTCTGCAAAATGGCGACATCACTTTTGGGATCATTATTTTCTGGCATGCCATAAAACTCATCGAACACTTTTCCAACCTCATCCACGCCAGAGAACATCTTTTCAGCCAGTGGCGGATCGGCATCTAAATCAATGCTGTCGACATCGGTCAGTACGCTGCTTACGCGGGTGATATTCTGCTCGATGGCTTTGCTTTTCTCTGGCAAAGCATTCATCTCGTTGAGTAAATTCTTCAAGAAGTTTCTCGATTCGCGCAATATGTAGCGCGACTGATTGGTGAGTAGACCAAGTGTGCCGAAAAGCAATTGATTTCGTGGTAAACTTAATTTCTCTTCGGATGATGAAGAAGAAGAAGTATCGGCGTCCACCGATTGTGCGACTGCAGTGGGTTCGGTGTCTGCAACTGTTGAAACTTGTCGTTGTGGAAATGCAATCGCTTGCTGTAGAGAGTGAAAATGTGCATCATGAACGAAAGACACAAGATCACGCGGGAAGGAAAGAACGAAAAAAGTTATTTTCTAGCTGCCGAAATCTCGACGCCATCTTTGTTGTAAGAAGTAAACAACGAAGAGAACGGAGAAAACCGCGAAATTGTTGAACGCATGAAAAATCACTTTTATTATGCAAATTCTTCTAAAAATCATGCCGTTGTGTTAAATTATTCTTTATCTTATGTGTACACACGTTGTCACAAGCGAAAATGAATGAAAGCGATTCTAACGGGCTACTCTCCTGCCCGCGTGATCTTGTCTTTTTGGTTCATGAATGTGCATTATATCAAATACCATGTATTGGGTATTGGTTTTTTTTTTTTTGTAATGACTCACCTGCACTGCTAAGCAAGCGCACAGTAGTAAAACATTCCAGGTTTTAATCATTTTGTGTGTCAATTCACTTTTCCGACGTTCGTTGTAAAAATACAAAATGCAACTAAATCGACGCGTAATCCGTGCTAATCTTTTATATTGTTCTCACTTACACTTAGGGCTGGCAAATGTTTGGGTACACGACTTGAACACACCCATGCTCCGTAATCAGTCAAGATCACTTTAAGTGAGCGGTTGTTTGAAAGGGGCAATTACGTTAAGTTTTTTAATGTTATTTGCTTGAAATCATGGAATGGAGTTCGCACGAGCTTGTTGTATTTGGCCCGCGAAAATTGCGGCTACGAGAAAGGAGAACTATTTCGGATTTTTCGGCCACTGAAAATCACGCGAGGTTTTGTGTATCGAAATAACTGTGAAGTTGTAAGAGGAGGCTGGTGAAATAATCTACAGTGAAAGATGCGGCCGTACCATATGTGGCAGGGAATCGAAGTCAGCGAGAAAGGCCAGAATGTCGCGCATCATAAAACGTGACTTGCGACTCAGCGCATATACATACATACATACATACATACATACATATGTACGTACAGAAGCGTTGAAACAAACACGTAAGTCAACATCGAAAGACTTGCTTCCCTAGCAAGCGAAAGCGCTGACTGGCGAGAAAATGCTCACGGTGAAAAAATCTTTCAATAAACAGAACAATATCTAGGTGGTATACTCTGCCATCACGATTTGCGCCCGAACTCGTTCCCAGTGTCCAACCTAGCTAGCACCCAGCTTCGGTGATATTTTGAACAAGACTGCGATCACCACACCACATAAATCCACATTTCAAACTTCGTACAAATATTATAAAAATTCAACAAACGTTAGCAATTTTAAACTTTTCATCAGAATTTTAAGCAAACTTTTGGGAATCAAAGCCAATTTTTGCATACCTACCGCAAACTTAAACTTTCCAATGATAGCCATAGGCTACAAATAATTTCGATATAAATATGAAGGAGGCGTGGCACCTTCCATAAAAATGAAAAATTTCTTGCAGCATATAAATCTCGGGAAGTATTTGTGGGAGAGCACTGGAACTTGGTATGGAGATATGTGAAACTAATTTCATACTCATACAGAAAAATTGGCGCAATTGGAAAAGAGCGCAAGGAACCTCTCATACATACTGAAATTCTCATAATGCATACATTAGAAAAGATTCCGCGATCTCTCCCATGCAAGTGAAATTTTCATACAGAAAATCTCTGGAAGTATTTGAGGTGGGGTACTGGATAATTAATTTACAGCAGCAGCGTTAAGGCCAAGCCACACAATTGGTGCATTTATACCGATTTTTCCATTGTGAAAATTATTGTTTGATTTTTTTTTTTATTAAGTGGATCTCATTATCGATAAAAAATTTTAGACAGCACCACTCAGTAACTGTACCAAACTGTACATACATATCCACCAATCGTGTGATTGAGCCCTTTTTAATACTCTAATTACCGTCAACAGTGAACGTTCACTGTGCAAATTAGAAAGGTGCGAGAAACTGGGAAATGTTCTTTGGAATGTTCTCTAACGAATTTTTGTTTTTAAATTTTCTTAAAATTGACTTAAGGCATAGACATACGCCGACGTTGATGCGGATTAACGCCGCAGTTGATTTAATCAAAATTGTGCCTTGACAAATGCCAGTATGGCAGATTAACGAGCCGCGAGGTCGTGGGTTCCAGTCCCACGGGCATTAGAATTTTCACAAATTTTTTATTCATTCAATACAACTTTTGTGTATTTTAATGTTATTTTTAGTTAGTTGTTGTTGATTTTTTTAATAAAAAACTTTTAAAATTCTGAGTAATCAAACTGAGAATCGAACCTGGATCCTACGGAATTGTAGTACATAGCGATCACCACACGGCTACCGCGGCGTGTTGTCATCGAATATTTCACTGATCCGCATTAATTTGGAGGATCAGCTGCAGAGCTTAATCCAGATCAACTGCAGTTAATTCCCGAGACAATTCCGAATTAACGAGTTGATCCAGATCAACGCTGCCGTCTGTCTATACTTTTATAGCCGCCTATATAAACACCCCTATGCGAAGCGGTCAAACCGATTTTACCGCAGCTGGTAGGCAAATGGAGGTGATTTCAAGGGCGGTGTTCTTCATACAATCTTAAGCCATCAGGTTATACATTAAGTCGAAAAAATTTAAATAATAAAAAATTTAATAAATGAGCTGGTATCAAGTTCATATGACTTGCTTAGTTCATATTATGCGCAATATTTTGTTACGGAGAGATCGAGTAAATTGTATAAACAAATAATCGTATAAAGCAAAACAAAAGAGAATTTATTGATTACAATCACATTCTGAGCTATTAATCCAACGGTATATACCTACATTTAGCACACTTGTATATAAAAAATATATTTACATGAACTATCACTAGCTACTTGCAATTATTGGAAAAATGTCCAAAACTCTCCCAACACTCCGAATTTCTTTTCTATATCATCTTCCTGTTTAAAACGTTTATACCAGTTGATTAATGGAGCTTCGTTTTGTTTTTCTTTCTCACTCAACGATGTCTGAAAATTTTCAAATAACTCCATAAAATTATCTACAGTTGCTTCCAATGAAACATTTAACCGTTTCTCCATATCCTCAGAACCAATCTTCTCGAATATATTCTCCAAAATTGTGGCATCACTTTTGGGATCATCATTTTCTGGCATGCCATAAAATTCATCGAAGACTTTTCCAACCTCATCCACAACCGAGAACATCTGTTCAGTCAGTGGTGGATCGGCATCTAAATCAATGCTATCGATATCGGTCAGCACGTTGCTTACGCGGGTGATATTCTGTTCGATGGCTTTGCTTTTCTCTGGCAAAGCATTCATTTCGTTGATTAAATTTTTGAAGAAGCTACTCGATTCGCGCAATATGTAGCGCGACTGATTGGTGAGTAGACCAAGTGTGCCGAAAAGCAACTGAGTTCTTGGTAAACTTAATTCCTCTTCGGATGAAGAAGAAGTATCGGCGTCCACCGATTGTGCGGCTGCAGTGGGTTCGGTGTCTGCAACTGTTGAAACTTGTCGTTGTGGAAATGCAATCGCTTGCTGTGGGGTATGGAAATGTCAATTAGATCAAATGCAATGCACTGGATATTCGTTTTTTTTTTTTTTTTTTTTTTTTGTTGTAATGACTCACCTGCACTGCCAAGCAAGCGCACAGTAGCAAAACGTTCCAGTTTTTAATCATTTTGTGTGTCAATTCACTTGTCCGACGTTCGTTGTAAAAATGTAAAATGAAACTAAATCGGCGCGCAATCCGGGCTAATCTTTTATATTGTTTTCACATATATGTACATATATATAGTACAAAAAGTATGTTTGATTGAATGAATGTTAGACAAGCGTTTAGTAACTAAGTCGCTCAGTAATGTTGGCAGTGTAATCGAATTTACATACGAGTATGTCGCTGTAGCTGTCAATGGTTTATTAGTTGAGCATTTAATATATTCTATTGTAGGTTCCGTCAGTTTATGTTCTAGTTTGTTTTGTTTTCATCTAAACCAGAAGTACATATACAAACGCCGAATTAAATATGCATTCAATTTAGAAAACAATTCCCTTTATATTGTGTATTTATATAAATATTTATTTAAGTTCCTACACATGTATGTACATATATATAAATTGATAAATTTTCCTAATGAAGTTACTCGCCTTAGGGGAAGTACTCCTAACTCTTTATGGTATGTATAGTGGGACCGAAACCCACTAAAAACGTGTCTCAATAAATGTGTTATTGAAGGAATTTCGTTCGATAAGCAAACAGTCATCTCCAATATATAGTCGGAAACTAATCATACAGTAGGGGTCGTCACGCCAATTTCGTTACCTTGGCGATTCGTTCGTTGGCAGTTTGCTTCGTTTCTTGGCGGTTAGGCGCTTTCTTCGGATTTACAAAAGCAAGTAGTTTAGTATGTAAAACTCGTTAATTTCATATAAAGAAATAAAGTTCAATGCATAACAAAAGCCATGTACAGTGGCGATCAAAACTGAGTGCATAGGGTGTTTTTTTTTAATATTTGGACATTTTTTCAATTTATAAAATAAAAAAAAATAAAAAATTAAAACTCAACGCGATTTTTTCGCCACTTAAAACTTGCTCTTGTTCTACTAAAATTTCATAGACCATGCCTACCCAAAATTTGTCTAAAAATTAAAAATCTCAAAATTTTGTTGAAAATTGGTTGATTTTTTCTAATTGCTGAGTACAGTATGACTTACATATGTGTTTTTGGTTAAAGCCTGAACCATATTTTTATAAAAAACTATATAAAAATTTTAACATGAAAAGCATCGCAAATATTTAACAGAAATCACAATGCACTGACTTTTGATCGCCAGTGTACATACGTAAATTAAAGTTTGGAATTTTCCACGAAATTTAAAATAAAATAGAAACATTTCGAAACTTCTAATTACTAATCAGGATTTTTAGAATGTTCTTGGGTATGCAGTTTATTACCTCATTTCATTTCATTACAAAAAATGCAAGTTTTAAGGGGCAAAAAAATGATTTTTGATCATTTTATTGCTGTCTGTCTTGCACATTTTCTTTTCTTTCTGCACGAAATAATTTCTTAGAGAGCGAGCTTTTAAAAGCTTGGTACGCGCCTGTGAAAAGACCAACTGCGGTTTAGGTGCACATACATATGTATTCTAATTAAGCTGGTGTTGACCTTTTGTAACCCTTATTTACAATATCAAGCTTATTAATACTTGGATTTCCTACCGGGTATTGGCACAGCGTTTCTGACTTGGGTTGCTTGTTTTGTAATTTGATTAGTGTTGTGTGGACGCATAGCACTTTTGTAAAAAGATAACAGTTAATAATTAAAAGCAGGTATGCCTTAAAATTTGCAAGCGATCGCGAGGCATTATGAAAGACAAACAAACGGAAAAATGTATTTTGTTCTTAACAATAAATAAACTATAACTGAAATTTTTGAAGTTTCGCACTTTCATTTGAATCATGGTGGAATAATAACAAGGTGTTGTCAGTAGCGACGTGTTTGTTGTGATTGCTTATTTTCAGTGCTGCCGATCTTAATTTTTATACTACTATTCGTTGGGAAATAGTATCTAAAATACTCCATTTTAGTAATTCGTTTTATCGCAATTTTTAAAGAACTTGGTGTTTTCAGAACAATATTAATATTTAAAATTGCTGGATTTGTATAATTTTTGTACTCAAAAAGTAGAAAAATAAAAGATATCGTGGTATCAATGGAGAAAAACTTTCACAAAAATAGTATGGAAAAGTGATTTTTTATATTAAATAACTTTTGCTGCATTGTCATAATATTGAGCCAAATGAACTACTGATACATTAGAATAGAGTGGTGGCATGGTTAAATTAGGAATTCGCTTATATTATCGATATTTATGTGTTTTAATCTATTTAGAATATCATTTACAGTCTAATAGGAAATTGTCTTATTTTACGGCTTTTACTTTTTTAAAGTTACAATATATGTCCAAACTGTGTGGAGCTGCCGATACAAACATATATTAAGGCTTATAAGCCTGTAATTATACATTTTTCTACATTTAATTTGAAGTAGTATGCACCAACGGATTAAAAGTAGTAAATAATTAGTACCTTTTCTAGTACTTTAAAATGCGTGACCGGAATAGACCTGCCGAAAAAGTGAGGTTAAGTTACGGACAACACCTTGTTATTATTACACCATGCATTTGAATATGGAAAGTTTTTAACTGAGTTCTATATATATAAAATGAAGGTTTATTATCAGCGTAAAGGAAAAACTTTCCGTTTTTACACAACGTTTCACAAATATAAACAGAAATATACGTGCGACTGTAACGTTAACGACAAAAATTTTGACCATATACATACATACATATATACCAACAAACAAACAATCATTTACATATATTCATTAAGTATTTAAGTTTTTTAAATACATAAGTAGGTAGGCTATTTTCTTTTAGACTGCGACTCACATATAGAACTGAAAGTGAAAATGTGATCAGGAGAGCGAAAATGAATTGAGCTTGATTATCTAATTAAAATTTAAAGCCCAGAATTTAGCTGTTAATCAAATTTCAGTTACACCCCCTTTTAATTCCTTGTGATCGCTTTTTATCGTTTTTTTTAGGGCAATTCTGCTTTTTAATAGTTAGTTTCCACACTTTGTTAGTGCTCGTTTTTCTTCATTGCTTGAGCTTTAATTGCAAAAGCTAGTGGAACTTTATTTTTATCATGAGAAATATGTTTTTCTAGTATAATCACTTTGCAAAACCTAAATATGCTGTGTCGCTTTTGCTATTCTTTGAAGCGTAATGTGAGTCATGCTTACTTTATAAACAGTATCGGTCATATCTATAGCACGCCATTTCCAAGTGATATTGTGTGCCCCTTATGTTTATTTATTTATTTTTAAGAATTTTCAATTAAAATTTAGTTCATTCTCAGACAAACCCCATATATACCCAAGGTCAACAATTTGTAGAAAACTGCAAAAAAGTGTAACAAGTTTTCACCTAAATTTTAAACTTTTTTCCCGGAAGTGTTAGAATTTTTTTGAGTACACAGTTTTTTAGGCCGTGCAATTTTAGTCTGATAATGTGCAAATTTCAAGTGGCTACGAATTACCGTTAATTTTTTAGATTTTTTTTTTTGTCGCATTGGCTTCCATATAATGAATAAACTCAATTTATTTGTATATGGAAGAAAACCGCAACACCTTTGGCAAAAAAAATTCTAAAAAATCAACGGTAACTTTTAGCCACTTGAAATTGCACATTATCAGACTAAAATTGATTGGGCTATAAAACTGTGTATTCAGAAAAATTCAAACACTTCCGGGAAAATTTGTTGCAATTTTTTGTAGTTTTCTACAAATTTTTAAACTTGGGTTTGTATGGGTTTTGTTAGAGAAAGAACTGTATTTTAATTGAAAATTCTTAAAAATAAATAAATAAACATGAGTGGCACACAATATCACTTTAAAATGGCGTGCTATAGATATGACCGATACTGTACATACATAAAAAAATTATCACTGGTTAGCCTGGTTTTATTGTATTTGTTTATTACATTGGACACAACAAAAAACAGTTATTAGAAATAAAATAAATGCATATTTCTTTCTAGTCTAGCAGTTACTCAGGTTAATGTACAAGTGTATGTGCTTAAGTAATCAGGGGTTTAACCATTTTTTACACCCCGTACGGTGATATTTCATACAGATTTTGTGCCCATAATTTAAAAAATTAGTATATTCACATGAAAATATATATTAAATTCACGTAGAATTGGGTTACATTTATTAAAATACCCTGCAGCAAAAACAAAAAAATTTCGAAACACATGAACCAATCAATGCACTCACGAAATTGTGGGTCAAATATAGTAAAACTGTGTTTTTAGTTTTTTCACTGACGCCAGGATTTTCTTAAAAGGACTTTGTAACTAGTTTCAAAGACTTGCTTAATTCCAAAAATTATTTAAAAAATTTATTAAAATGTAGGAAAACAGTATGGGTACCAAATGAAAGAGCGAATTCTGTAGAGATCAAAAAAATTTAAATTTTTTGGTTCACAAGGACGAATAGGTATTAAAAATGTCTTTTTTATTGTTTTTTGATTTTTTTTATGTGCATAATCTTAGAATGACGAGATTTGAGGATTTGGTCGAGTGCATACTAGTCCTTAACATTTAATTTTTTCGAAAAAATTATTGTAAAATTTCAAGGGAATTCAATAATAAATTGTTAAAAGGACATTTCTAATACATAAACCTCCTTGTGCAAAAAAAATAAAAAAAATTAATCAGCTTTAATTCTACAGAATTTTATCTTTAATTTGGTGGGCATACAGTTATTCTGCATTGCACTGAAATTTGCTTTTTTAATAATTTTTGAAGTAATTATATTTTTCAAATTTGAAAGTCCTTTTTCCTTCCCAGTTTTACTATATTTGACCCATGGTTTCGCGAATACATATATACAATTTTGTGTAAGTAAAATTTACTACCGCACGGTGTAATATAATCATCGTGCATCTTATACGAAATTCGTTGAAAAAAATTAATTTAAAAAAAATCGTCTTCAGAAAAATATTATATGGTACAAAATCGGGTCTTATGGGCAAGAATTGGGGATCGAATATCACTGAGCCCCGTGTCAAAATGATAAGCGCACCAGATATTGACAATTTTTAACAATTTATTATTATGTTATTTTTTTATTTACTCTATGTTTTACAAAACTATAGTTTATTCTTTGACAAAATCCGCATAAATCTATTTTTCAAACTTTTTGCAAATATTTCGAAATTTTTATTTAGATTTGAGTATGTAGTTTTGTGGCCCATTAAAATTTAGTGTCTCAAAGTGCAAGCCGTTAGGACTTACCGTTGATTTTGGGTAATTTTTGTGAAAGGTGCTGCTCATTTTCATTCATGTAAAAAATCACCGAACATTGTAAGCGCACCACGTATTGACAATTTTTAGCAATTAATTTTTTTATTATTTGATTTTATTTTAAGTTTATTATTTGACAAAAACTGCATAAATCCGGTTTTCAAAATTTCGAGCTTCTTAATTAGATTTCATGGAAAGTGAACGCTTCAAGTAGCTAGGACGTACCTTTGTTTTTTGGCATTGTTTTTTTTTTGTTTTCTTTTTTTTGTTGAAGGAAGAAGATGCGTGACCCCGTCAGAAAAAAAAATTACAAAAATCCACGCTAAGTTCTAAATACTTCAAACTTAGACTTAGATACTCAAAATCTTTTACGAAAGTTTTTGACTCTCTAAATATTGCACAAAGTTTGTAAATAACTAAAACTAAATAAAAAATGTGTGGTGTACCTTTAATTTCGACACGGTGTGTATATTTTTATGTGCCTGTAAATACGGAAAAAACGGCGCGTTTGCGATCTAACTATTTCGATAATGTAAGAATGTAACGGTTTTATTGCACGTCTACACATATTAAAACAACAAATTACTCAAATTCTTTTACCCAACAGGTTGCAATAAAAGATATTGAAACAATAAGACAGCATCGTCGAATTTATCTTGATCATCCTTCGGCTTCTGGAAATGCTCATACCATTCCAATAATTCTCTATACTTTTGTTTTTCTTCTGCCGTAAGTTTCGTAAAAAATCGATTAACCAATTTTGTAATTTTCCTGACTGTTCTCGCCAACGACTCATCTATGCGCACATTAAAGCCATGCAAATCGATTTTATTAAAGAGTAATGTCAGCACTGCAGCATCTTCCTTCGGCACTTGGTAATGGAGCATAGTAGCGAAATCGGTGTACAATTCCGAAAGTTCTTCGATAATTTCAGCTTTTCTGTCTATAGCATCATATGAGTTTTTAGACAAATCGATGCTTTCGATAAGTTCGAGTAAATTATTCATGCGCGTTATATTCGCCTCAATGCCTGGAGTTTTGTCGGGTAACGCATTCATTGCCTTTAGTGAGACCTTGAGAAAATCACGACCTTCGCTTATAATCTTATTCGTATGTGCATTTAATAGTCTAAAGTTAGACAAGTGCAGGCGATAGGTGGGTGTATCATATTCGGGGAGAAGATAGAATGTTTCTTCGACGGATTCAGATTCATTTGACTGTTCTGTTGTGTACTTTATTGTTGTGGCCTCCTCACTGTAGAATGTACTTGAATCTGCACTTGTCTCAACTGTGGTTTCCTCAGCTTCATTGGTTGATGTGAAATTTTGAGGAAACGAGTCCGCGTACTAAATTCAAATAAAATTGATTTGAAACCAATACAAATTTGCGCTGGTTGTATATTTTATAGTTCGTACCTGTAAGCCCAGACAAAGTAACAAAATTAATATTACATATACGTTCGCCATAACGCCGCACAAATCTATGTGGTAAGATCATGTCTATATGCGCTGCTTTTAAACAAAATTGTCCAGCTATTATTAACCTGAGAAAGCGTTCCGATTATATTAGGGGTATTCTCTGAGTCTTGCAAAGCCCTTGCATGGTGCACAGATTGCACGGATTGCACGGTTAAAACCGGTTTTCGTATGGGACAGCTTGGCAAACCGTGCAATCCGTGCACCGTGCAAGGGCTTTGCAAGACTCAGAGAATACCCCTATTGTTAAGATTTTCACATTTCTTGTTAAGTGATAAAGCGATTATCTTGAACATTTACTATTTTATTGTATGCATAATTAAAAAACTGGTTTTATTAAAAGTAACTGCGAAAGACATTGATGTGATTTACAGTCTTAATAAAACGTGGATCTACATTTTAATTAGAAATGTATTTACATATATTTAAAACGTGTATGTATGTATGCACTACATGAGCGGTCGGTCACCCGAGGCGCTAAGTATGGTGAAATGCATATTGCATTCGTTTCCTTAGCCGATGCCACAAACGAAACATTGCTTTGTCAGACCAACCGACTGTGTTCCTTCGATTCAACAACTGACCCAAATGTTTGAAAAAGCGTCGACGGAGAAAAGATTAAAACAGCTAGAAGATTTTTAGTGAAATAAATGTAGAGAAAAGCTAATCGAAAACTTATATTAATACTCTCCATCTGGAATTTTTACAAAAATGAGTTACTGATTAGAGGTGGAGAAAACAGGAATGGCACTCTCGTTGCATCGATGTTTTTGCATTTTTGTTAAGCATCGATGTTTGATGGCGAATATTTATCGATGGTTCATTTGTACACGTCTGCGCATGTAAAATACTAATTTCTAGTTTATAACCTTTCTAAACAAAAATCAAAATATTTTATTTGTATACTAATAGGCTCGTCTGATCTAAGTTTAAAGATACGAATAAAACTAAGTCATTCCATTTTTCTAGCCCAACGTTTCGCCGAATACTTTTTAGCATCTTCAGGGGCAATTCGTTTATTAGATATACTACTGTTTTGAATATTGAAATAAATTTTGAAATTAATAACATACAAATATTTAAAATTTCTGTAACTAGCACAACATTAAAAACAAAAAACATTCAAAGGATAAAATCACGTAACTTTCGTTTACAAAATTTTCTCCGGAAGTGCCTTTTCCAACCTCTAAATGACCTTCAAACTTCAGCTGGTCCTAGACTCTTGAAATGAGTGAAAATGTTCTTATTTGAAAACGAAAAAATCTGAATTATCAAGTCGGGGATGCTCTACCGTTGGGGGTGGGCGAGGGACACCCTTTATAATTTTTGGTGTTTGATCAGAAAATGCATGAGATCTTTCGAGATTAAAAATTTTACGTACTTGTTTTTCTTCGTCTCGCAAATATTTTTCAATTTTGTGAAGCTTTTGGAGCTTTCTTTTGCTTTTCTATGTTTTTCAATGTGCATCGTTGTGATTTAGCAGTTTTACTAATAACACGGTTCAACAAAATTGTGTCGTATTTTATCTCAAAAACCGGACCGACCTCATCTTACAATATTTTTTATGCTGATTTGAAGTGCATTTAAAAAATTTTTCTAGCACATCGAGTTTTTGAGAAAAAGCTGTTGGAAGTGAGGAAAAATCACAAAAATGGCAAATTTCAAAAAAATTACAAATAGAATTTGCACGTAGTTTTTTCCAAGAAACGAATTGAATTTTCATTAATACGTGTTTTTTTTCTTCGGAACAACTACGTCCAAATTCTGTTTAAAAACAAAATTTGACATTTGACATTTTTTACCATTTTTTGACCCTTCAGCAGCATTTTTCTCAAAAACTCGATGTGCTAAAAGAATCAAACAATCAATAAGATGAGATCGGTTCCGTTTTCGAGATAACATATGGCCAAATTTTGTTGAACTGTGTAATTTGTGAAAGAAGATATAAAAAAGAAGTAAACTATATCACAAAATGTACCTATTTAATGAACTGTTAATAAGTCACGACTTGAATTTCTACTCTAATTTCTTTACTTATAAGTGTTCCGGCGTCCAAAATCTATCAAATATATTTTCGAAAACTTCTGTACATTCGTTTGCACCAATTCGTCCACGATCTTGAATACTCCACGCAAATCAGCTTGGTCCAGCACGTTTTTGAAAATAGCAATCTCGTTTGTGGGATTATCTCTCTTTGCTATGTCATTTAAGTCAACAAACAACTGCACACCCTCATCTGAAAGGGTGAGCCGATCTTTTGCAACAAAATCGTTTGTATCAATCAAATCAATGCTTTCGATAAGCTCAGCTATGCTCGTCAAGTGCGCAATGCGAGCTTAAATGTATTCACTTTTCTCTGGCAATGCATTCAGTAATGCCAGCAACTTTTGCATAAATTTGTATGACAGCTCGATTTGCATCCGGCCATGTTCTCCGACTAGACAGAGAGTAAAGTTCATTAATTCACCCAGTGAAATGACTGAAGGCACAGCCGAGGTTTCCGACGCTTTGGTTTCCTGCATGGCTAGGAGTGTATGTTGAGTGCCGACGTTATAATGACTGGCTCATGTCAAGCTAATGCCGATTTAAATAAACCTCTGATGTAAATAAACTTCTGATGTAAACAATACTTTGAAGAGTTGTTAAAATGTGGACTGTTTAGAAAAAGCTTTAGCAAAGCACACGATTGTCGCTTAACCGGCAAAACGTTTGAGAGCTGAGCTGCATTAAGTGATTGCACTATAAACAGATACTTGTATGATACATTAGGTGGGGTCAATTTGTATGTGAGATTTTTTCGACTTCGTGAGTATAGCACAGAAGGATTCTATGGGTCTAAAATCAATTTGGAGTTTAGTTAGCGAAGATAGGTTTCTTGGCATTTTGCTGTATCGTCGGAAGGAAGTGTAGGAAGTAAATTTTATATAAAATTATGATATAAAAGGGTATTTTTGTTTGAGAAATCCATTTCTGCACTCATATTTTTTCACATTTTCTTCGAAACCTAATTTCACAATTTGGCAAACTCCAAATTGATTTTAGACCCATGGTTTCTTTGGCACGTAAAATCTTCCTATGCTATACGCGCATAGTCAAAAAAATATCCCATACGAATTGACCCGCCCTAATATACAATTATAAATATCTACAACTATCTATACAACTTATCTTAAAATCACAAACAAGTGTTTATTTTACTCATGCAGTAAAACCTGCAGAAGCAAAGTTCTTAATATATTCGTATATGGCGAATCAAACTGGTTTTAATTGCTTTAAGCTCACTCCCTCAATATTTTCGCTAACTATTGCAATTTTTATTAAACAAAAAGCTTAACTTAGGTTGTATAAACGTTAGAATGTGGTTTGTACATTATTAGGGAGGTCCAATGATGCATGTGGAAAAGTGAAGTCGAAATTTTAATGCTCTCAGCCCCTGGGTATATTCCATAACGAAAAATATATACCCCGGGTTTTTTAATAAAAAAAAATATTTTGAGGTCGCTCAAAGCTTCCTATGAATTTCATATGAAGAAAAACCTATTTTTCTTAGATGGTATAGAATATCTGAAAATCAATATTTTTCAATCGAGGAACTCTGTTTCCTTTCAGTAGACTTCGAAGAATTGTATTCTTTTGGTGAATATTAAAAAAGTGTGTACCTATTATTTGCCGATTCAAAATTATAGATTCTCCATAACAATTCTACGAAAAATTATTCTTCAATGCGAAACTTTGAGTGCTGTGAGCGACCTCTAAATATCTGTTTCATTAGATAAAAAAGTTTATATTTTTTGTCGATATTGAACAACCCCAGAGGTGAGGAAACTAGATTTAGGCTTCACTTTCTTTGGACCACCCTATTCGTTGGGTGACGGCATTTCACGGAAAATAAAATCCGGGGATACACATCGCTCCTTCAATCATGAAATGCTATAAATATGCAGATTGACTGAAATTCTTTATTTCGAAGAAAGATATGCATGCGAAATGTGAAATATTTATAAAGCATTTGCTGAGAAATGCTGGCCTTCAGTATCTCGTCGTCATTTAACTACGCCAGAAGAGAAAATATAAAATCCTTCTGCAAATGGCCAGAAACATAGATCTCTTCACGATAGTGGCAATCCTGATGATGCTAACTAAGGTAGAGTTACAAGAATTCTTTAATAAACGTAATTCCTTTATGAAACTGCTTTTTACGATATACAGTTGATTATGGCTTATGTACAATTACAACAAGAATGGAACACCTTATTCACTTCAGCTGAGAAAGTACAGACGATTGACTTCAATTCAGTAAAAGAAGACACCAATGCTGAGGCAAGAGCCTCAGCAAATGATTTGGACGCGACTTGGAAAGAAACGGCATACGATAATTTTGCCACCTCAAATCCTATACCTGGAGAATATTATTTAAATGTTAATTTAAATACAATTGATAAATCGATAAAAATATTTTCCCAAGTCTTTATACGTGACTCACTTAAAGTTATTCAGCGTAAATTAAGAAGTGCCACATCTGCAGACGGAGCTACAGAACTATTCGTCATCCTAGCGAAAATTAAAAATCTTAGTGCTATGCAGCAGTTGCTAGTGGGGCAGGATTTATATGACACCTTGAACTTAATGAATAATGTAAATTTTGATACTGAGCTTTCGGAAAACTACGCTGCATGGTTTGAAGTGTTATTGGAGCACATCAATTGGCTGGTGCGTGAAGTTAAATTGGGAAAGTCCGTTAATTATTTGTACGAGCATTTCAACATCATGGCGGATATTGAGAAAAATTTTGAGGCAGTTAAGCTATTTTGGTTGAGTTTCTAATTTATTAGCATTATTTTAATTATTGCTTAGATATAACTATTGTTTATCGTTTGACCTAAGTTTAAAGATGCGAATAAAAGTAAGTTATTCCATTTTTCTAGCCTAGAGAAATGGAATAACATAGATTTATAACTATTGTTATTTGCTAAACTTATGTGTATACATACTTACATATACATATGTATGTACATACATAAAGCCATTTACTTTTAAGGCAAAAATAGTTGATGTATTGTGGGAACAGCAGGTATCTTGCATACCTCTAATTGTTTAGATTTGATTTTTTATATTTGTAACTCCTCTAACTACATAAATATGTATGCTGTGAATATATAAATTCTTTCCAATGCCAAATAACCTGTTAAAGTAAAATTTTCAGATGTTCATGAAAGGTATGAAGTCTTCGGCATAGCCGACAACAGCGCTGCTCTTACTTGTTTTTCATTAGAAAACTTCCACAACAGATTTACAAATACTTATCTACTTGATTGAATTTCTCTATGTATGCTATGTAAGCATATGTACACTAGGGTGGTCCAAAAACAGTAAATTCGGAATTGTAGTGCTCTCACACCCTAGGATTGTTCTATATCGAAAAAAGTTGACCCATATTTTTTTAGTTTGAAATCAAAAAATACTTAGAGGTCGCTCAAAGCGCTCAAAGATTTCCATATACTTTTATATGGCAAAAAGACAATTTTTTGTAGAAATGGTATAGAATTCTTGAAAATCAATATTTTTCGATCGGGAAACTGTGGTTCTCTTCAGGAGACTTTCAATAATAATTCCCAATTGCTTATTTTATCATTTTTTAATACTAACGGGGAATCTCCTGCAGATAAACCGAGTTTGTCGGTAGAAAAATATAGATCTTTAAGAATTCTATACCATTTCTACGAAAAGTTGTTTTTTTTTTCCATATAAAATACATAGAAGACTTTGGGCGCTTTGAGCGACCTCTAAATATTTTTTGATTTGAAAATAAAAAATAGGCGTCTATTTGTTCGGTATAGAACATACCTAGTGGGTGAGAGCATAAAAATTCCGACTTTACTTTTTCACATGCATTTTTGGACCGCCCCAATGTACACACATGCGAATGTGTAAATACTAGCATACATAAATTTAATCTATTAACTGGTGGTTAATCAATCGTGAGGGTGCAATACCTATAATTTTTAGTTAGCAATAATCATTTTATGAAATAATTGTTATTTAATAAAATCAATAATGCACGTTGTTTGTTCAATAACCATCCTACTCAAAAACCATTTGCATAAATTTGTATATAAGACGTCGCATAAAGCCGGCTAATTTAAATATTTACATTTGCTTCAAGGAAAGCTCTGAAATCGCGTTTTAATGGCAAAACGAAAACTTTTAGTTGCCCTCAGCATTTGCTTACTGCTACAGGTGAGCTACTCGCATTATAAAATAACAGCACAAACAATTTCACAATACTCTTTTTATGTACATATATAAAATTTCCTCTACGTACTACAGTTCGTCGCTTCTATACCGCATTATCGAGTGCCAAACTCACTCGAGAACGAAGATGATCTCAGCCTTAAGCAAACTAAATCACAAACGCCATTAGAAGAATATCTTGCCTCGGAGATCTTACCACTCATGGTCTATACCGCTATACTTGTTGATGAGCGCAGTCGTAATGTCATACGTGCATCAAATATCTTTCTAAAGCAAGCAGTTGAGGTACTTATCAAGCTGCCATTGGAAAGTGAAAGCATACATTCAAATATTACGCGTTTTAGTAATTTGGTAGAACGTATCGAAGGCATTGATTTGGATGGCGATTCGTCTGCGGTGTTAGCTCAAAAATCCACGCTTCTAAAAGATATAACATTTTTGCTAGCTGACATTGATCTTACAGCCAGAGGGAGTGTTGCTGGCCGAGATGCCGTATTTTACATCAAACCATATTTAAAAGATTTTCATAAAAACTTGTTAAGGTCGGCAGATACTGTTGTTCATAAATTTTCAATAATATTTGCAAGATTTTGGAATTCGCTTAGCGAAACTGGGAAGATGCAACTATCAGAGTTAAGTGATTGGTGGATGCATTTTCAAGGAGCAAAAAGTAGCGAAGAGAAGTTTAAACACTTTGCTAAGTTTTTCGAAATATTTAAAATCTAAGCACAAAATGTGTAAAATACTTTTAATAAAAATTAGCAATTTTAAGTAAATAAATATGGCACGCCTGCCGTAAAGAATAAAGAAATGAAACGTAAGGCTGCAAGCAAGTCCAGTTATTTCTTTATAGACTAATTGGATAGTTTGAGTTTGAAATGTAGAGAGAAACAAATGGATGATATCATCTCAAACACTACAAAGAACCTTAAGATTTTGCTTCACCACCGATTACATATTTCGCCATATACTTGTACATATCGTCGTTCAAAGTACAAAACCGCGTATCAGGAAAATGCGAAACCACGTATGTGAGGTTGCCAAAATTTTTATAGGAGAGAGGAAAACTTGTCTTATTTCAAAACGATTCTCTTTTTCATCCCCAATTATCTTTTCGTTTTATGTCTAAGTATCAATATTTTTGTATGAACGGATAAGGGTTTGATGCCAGGAGCTTTGGCACAAATGTCAGTTACGAGGTTTTGCAGAACCACGATACGCGGCTTTGTACTTTAAACAACGATATGTATGTACGTTTTCGAGGTCGATATCAAACCGATTTTATCACTAACACATTTACGCCCGCCGCACAGTGGTACAAATGCCAAATTTTACTATTAAAAAAGGTTTAAAGCCTAAAATTCTTGAAAGGTGACGGATGTGTTTAAATAATAATTTTCGCGTTTGCGCCTCTATGAGCTGCACAGTGTGAAAAATTAATTTCGTTTGTAACAAAATCTATCTCGAGAACGAGAAGAGCAAGCGAAATAAATTTAAAAGTATTTTGAAGGTTTTGGAATAGAAAATGCAGGAAAACTAATTTTCTTAGATAAAAATATTTATTGCGTTCACCTTTAAAATTGACTTCAAAAATAAAGGGTTTTCAAATATTTTACCTAAAATACAATGAAATTTTTAAAAAGTTTTAAGCATATATTTTTACTATTATTGTGTACAGGACAACAACAAAACACATCTAGCGAAATAAATTTAACACCACTTTTAATGTTTTGAGATAGAAAATACACGAAAAATACTTCCGTTGTA